AGTATCTGGTCTAGAGGCGATAAATGTCAGGGACCTGTCCCTTCTATATAATACACTTGCTGGACGATCTATCGGTCATGCATTAGTGCCCTTTTGTGTTGGTGGCTTAGCAGGACAGTTGCCTGGGCCTGTACAAGTAGTAAAGACTAGTCTGAAAAGCAGAAAGGACAAAAAAAGAACCAACACTAAGGTACCTAAACCTGTGACTGGGACGCTTATCCTACAGGTATGGGTGGTATTTGAATAATATCAAAATGACGAGGCTGATATGTCATTCGGATAAAATTTCTGTCATTAAAAGTTTGTTGTTTCCCCCTCCTAGGTTCTGCCCTCGGTTCCTTCCGACACAGATGATCAATGCGTATGACCTAGAGGAAATTTCGTGGCGACTTAATCTCGAATCCCTGTTATCAGCATTGAACTAGCATGTGGTAGCAGCGAGTTGCCCGTCGCGAATATCGAAATGGATCCTGTGCGTCCTAACGCGGTTGCGGGTCAACAAAATTTAGCGCGGATAATCCATGCCCTACGTTACATCGTGATGGGCAGACACCGAGACAAATCGCGCTCAGCAAATCGACGATATGGATTAATTTGAGGCGTTTGAATGGGAAGCAGTAGGACACATGGTTAGGACCCTGGTACTGGCTGATTCGCAGTGGTAAAAGCCAAAATGCCATTGATTTAGTCTTCTAAAGTGGGAAACTGGCGCACCGAGACAAACGGTGCAATGTGGGGATCAGTCTGAGTCTTGACCGACTTACGCCCTTAGCCTCAGTAGGTTCGTAGGAATATGTTTACCATTGGTTGCTCTGGCCCCAGCCTTCGACTTTCTCTCTACCTAATCTCGACTAATGCGAGGAGCCGGATCTCAATAAGAAGCATATCGGGAAAAAAACTCAAATGCCTTGCGTGATAGTTGCTAGGAACAGGAATAACTGATACGCAGCAGACTTCATGCTAATGCCCCGTTCTCGAAACATCCAGGAACGGCGTAACTGCATCAAAGACCTGCCCGCTTGCTCCACCTTGGTACAGTGAGGTCGAGAAGGGAACGATCCATCTGTCAGGTTGTCAGTAAGGTCCACCTCGGGTAACGTGAGGACTTACATTAGTGCAAATGGCATCGTCGGCGGATATCCTTGCATACCTGTTTTTGTGAATCAAAGCGGACTATGAGGAACACTCAAATGGAAACATACATCTGGGCCTGAGCACACAAGAGTAGCAATATAAGGCGCCCTCTTCATACCGGTAGTGCCGTGAAAATTCTTGAACAGAATGTTCTCGACAATGAGCGAAGCCTAGGACCTATCAGCCAACTTTGTATATCCAGTGACGGATACATACTGAAAAGTAAATCAGACTCTGTATAGAGTGCAGCTATCAGTGTCAAAGTTGATAAATAGCCGCAAAAAGCATATATTAGCTAAATATCTTAAACAGAGACTGAATGCTCTGTCAATTTAATAGTGATCTGCTTTGTATCTAAATATCTAACAGACCATGATATATACCTTGGGTCTGCGTCTCTTCCAGGAACAGTAATGGGCATCTAGCTTGGGTATAATACACAGGCTATTAATAAACTAATTTACTTTGATATAGGATAGCGAATAGCCTTCTTGTTGTTAATTCAGATTTAATGATAGATAGAAACATATTGCTCCCCTTGACATGTCTTGCAGAGTCTTTGCTTTAAAGTCATGCTGAGTGAGAGGTATAGCTGCAGATGGCATTTATTTTACCACCGAGACTCGCTCTGTCGGAGACATAGTCGGGCAAAGACTATAAGCTGCAGTATATAAGTATTCTCACTTCAGGGTCTACTTGTCCAACATTAAATCATACGGCCGCCGAAAAGAATCAATCCTTTGTCGAAGCGGAGATGTTAACGTGGGGTACGTGGATTTAGATCAAAAGTAAGACAGTTTAGTCGACGTCATGGCTCCCAGCTGGATAACCCTGTGTGTCAAAGGGACTTGCGTCTCCTAGTTCACCTCTGAAAGGATCTGGTTTTTGCACCAATGGAATGATGGAGCAAGGAGATCTGCAGGGTCCGATCGTTACTGGTCGGTCCACGTTAGACCGAGACAACCTCAGAAGTGGGTGATGCTGCAGACCATTTGCGACTTCACCCCGGAATAATAATGTCTACTAACGTTCCATCTGGGGTTCACAAATCTTAGAAGCGATACACTGTTCGCTCTATGTAGACAATCATTACCTATGCGCCAAGTGCAGCGGATCATGGCGTTCTCTACCCTGTTGATGACTACAATACTCATATTCCTAACCCTTGCTGTGGGTGGAAATGGGTCGAAGATAAACCGGCGTGAGGTCGTCCGTCGCTTCAATCCCGTCCGTACCAACCTGTCCTCTACGACTCCCATCCAGGTGGGAAATGGCAATTTTGCCTTTGGAGCTGATATTACCGGGCTTCAGACCATTTTGCCGTACAACATTCTGTCGTCATGGTGTTGGGCCAATGACTCTCTGCCTATCGAGCCGGGCCAGCATGATCCCTCCGACTTCACCGGACTGGACTGGTGGACTCATGGCAGACTGGTAAGCTATGATATGCCAAATCCGGCCGAAGCAGCCCTCTCGACTTGGCTGAGGGCGAATCCCCATCGTGTCAACGTGGGAAGGATTGGTCTTCTATACACAGGCAAGGATATCTCGCTGGCGAACTTGTCGAACATGTCACAGACTCTGGATCTCTATACTGGGATTGTGACATCTGAATTCATTCTCGAAGGGGAGAGGGCAGTTGTGCAGACAGTTGGAAGCCCGAGTTCGGACGAGGTTGCGGTGCGCGTAGATTCGCAGCTGCTGCAAAATGGATCGTTGAGTGTCTTCTTCGACTATCCCCTGACTACCGGAGCAGCGTCATTCCAAGCGCCGTTTGTCGGTGATTGGAATGCCGTATCGAACCATACAACGAGGCTTTCCGTCCATGACCACCAGAAAGCCGTAATTGAACATTTTCTGGGAGGAACAACCTACTTCAACAGCATTTCGTGGCTATCCCAAGGGAACATCAGCGGTCCGATTAACGGAACCCATCGATATGTTCTCAACCCATCTGGAAAGACTACCTTCTCCTTCACTTCCACCTATACCCCGGTGCTGAGCGCCAAAGCCAGCACATTCAAGAGGGTGAAAGCAGAATCAGCGACCTGGTGGGCCAAGTACTGGGAATCAGGATCGTTCGTCGACCTCACGGCCACCGGAAGCTCAGTCACCGAAGAACTACAGCGGCGCATCATTCTTTCGCAGTATCTCCTTGCTGTCAATTGCGCAGGGAGGGATCCTCCTCAAGAAGCAGGACTGCAAAACAACGGATGGTACGGAAAGTTCCATCTTGAGATGGTCTTTTGGCACCTAGGCCACTGGGCCCGATGGGGTAAGTGGGAGCTCCTCAACCGCAGTCTCGGAGTATATAATCGCTTTCTTCCCTCTTCCATCGAGCGCGCCAAGGAACAGGGGTACTCAGGCGCTCGACTGGGTAAGATGAGCGATCCATCCGGTCGATCTGCTCCGGGCGAGATCAACGCGCTGTTGATCTGGCAGCAACCGCACGCGATGTATTTCGCTGAGCTGGAGTATCGCGCCTTTCCCACGGCTCAGACACTCAGAAAATGGGACACGGTCCTGACAGAACTCGCAGAGTTCATGTCCTCGTACGCGTGGTGGAATAGCTCGACGCAGGTGTACGATCTAGGTCCGCCAATGTACCCATCGTCGGAGAACACGAACCCGAATTCAACATACAATCCCACCTTCGAATTGGCGTATTGGCGCTTCGGTCTGCAAATTGCCTCGGAGTGGAAGCGTCGACAAGGCCAATCTGTTCCATCTAAGTGGACACGTGTTCAACATAACCTGGCCGCTCTGCCCTTGACAGATGGAGCGTACGCCATTTGTGCAGATCTCCCGGATATGTGGACCACCTACGATTACATTTCTGACCATCCCAGCCAGGTTGCCGTGTACGGCTTTCTCCCTCCCACACCTGGTGTGGACGTCGGGATTGTCAACGGGACGATGATGAAGATCAATCAGGTTTGGAACTTGACTAACTCATACGGCTGGGATTTCCCCATGCTGGCTCTGACGGCTACCCGTCTGGGACACTCGCAGCAGGCCGTGGACTATCTTCTCAACCCGATCTTTCAATTTGATGACGTTGGCAATCCCATTGGCGGTACCCGAGTGCCAACTCCGTACTTCCCTGCCTCGTCTTCCTTGCTTCTTGCAGTTGCGATGATGGCGGGGGGATGGGACGGCGACGAGGGTCCGCATTTTCCCCTTGGTTGGAATGCAAAGACAGAAGGTTTTACTCCTGGTCTTTGATGAAGACTCATACATTCAACAACCTATAGGATCCGGCCTCCCTACAGATGCCTGTAGCCTCCATTTACATTCATGATAATGCGAGGCAATCTGTAGGGCACACACTATAATTACCAGAACTGTCACGTTAGCTATGTTTGTGGCTAGATTCCATGGCCATTACGTTGATGAATTGGTTGTATATGTTGGTATGTTGCTATACAATGTTCGAAGGTTCCATTCTTCCAGTATTGAGTGAGAACAACCCGCAATAATAATACCATGCTACTTCCATTTACGCTGTTGTCGAGCATAAACTTTGTCTTCCTCAAACCGTCCTCCTTTCCGTGAATAGTCTCCATGTTCGCCCACACCTGGTCCTCGAAACTCGGATACCAATATCTTCAACTTAGCATCCAGATGCAGGAAGCGCCGTGCAAGGTTGTCGGCCAGACCCTTGGCTCCAGCATACCATTTAACTGCTTTGAAACAACGACCAGGGAATTTTTCGTTGACCTGCAGGTGTATACCTAGCTGGATAGGCTATATCGTCGACTGGAAGGTATTGCCCTAGAATGCACAACGCAAAATTGATATCCGGATTTATATACCTAGGTGGAAACCGACGTAGAAACGGTACAACAAAGTCAAGTCTAAGTATACTAGAAGCCAGTCCGCATATCTACCTGGACAAAGTCATCGCCCACAAGAAAAAGATCGTCTAAACTAGGATCCATCTCCGTAAAGGGTGCCAGAGAGAAGATATCAGCCAGCGGATCCAGCGTCGTCGTGACATTGCTGTGATGGGCAACTTGTGGGAGGTTAGGGCTCGCTTCCATCACTGACGAACCCCCAGTAGAGCAGCCTCTGTCCACCGACTGCATTTCACGGACATAACGCGCCTTGGCCATCAACCGCCCGATAGGCTTCCACAACGTGCCCTTGCGCGCGTGCTCCTTCATGCGCCAGCGGTCATAGAGAATCTCTACTGCTGCCCACGCCCTGTCGCAATCCGGGCAAGGGGGCCGAGTACAGATCTCTGATAGGACCAGCGCGACTGCGTGCCACTGGGAGTAAGTATCGGATCTCCAGGCCCAGTGAGCGATATTCGGATTGCATAGGGCGGAGCAGGAGAGCTCCAGGATCTCGAGGGCGAGGAGAAAACTCTTATCCCGCAGACTTGCCTGCAGCGGGGCCGTTGATTCTTCATTACTACTATCCATCCGCTTGCGAGGATAGTGGACCATCAGCAATACGCGGGCGATGATCAGCCGCGCCACGGTAGCTGAGACAAAGAGGAAGGGTTCGTCGGGATTGCAATACGCCAGGTAGCGAGTCTCAAGGCGGCTCTGGAGCTGCTCGGCCAGTGCCACCCGTTCGAGCAATGACAACTCGGTGATTGGTGCACTGCTGGTTGTCCTTGCCTGACGGCGATGCGGTGGAATGAAGCTGACCTTGCGCACGATGGGGATGGATTCCCAACCAATCAGGCTCAGCGTCATTTCTGTGGCGCCGTCTCGCTCGGTCGGCGGCTCAACCAGGTCCGCCGTCAGATCAGAATCATTAATATTCAACGGCAGCCGGGTATCAAAGGACGACTCGGATACAATAGGTTCGTAACCGTGATATTCGGACGAGCGCTGGTCGAGGCCGACGATAAACCACCACAGTCGCCGTCGCAGTTCGGTCTCGAGGGGCCGTAAGCCAAAAGCTGCGCCGTCGCGATGGAGACCCATAGCTTGGGCAATATGCACAATCAAGGCTGTGAGCGACCAGACTGTTCGGGAGTCATCTTCGTTGCGCAGGGCACAAAGAAACAGGGCCGCCGCCTGCAACAAGATCATGTTCTGGGTATTTAGCAGATCGGCGCGGGCGAAGGCCTGCTCGACGGCAAAGCGATACGTATGAAGAGCCTGGTGTCGAGATAGGCCAAGAGGGCATTGGTTCTGGTCAGTAGTACTGATGATAGCAGCATAGTAAATGGCAAACAAGAGGGCCTCCGTGTTGCAATCGAGGGCGTCAAGCGAGGCGACCGCGTCCCAGAAGAGCTTCGTGAGGGTCGGCATGTGGAAGATCTTCACCAGGGGAGCGACATTGGTGTGAAAAATCTCAAACAGAGCGACCGATTGAGAGATGGACGGATGGTAGTCTCGCAGTGAGTGAGCGAGCGACCTGAAGCCCATGATGGCGGCATTCAACCCGACTGTACCGACTGGTTCCTCCTTTTCAAACGTTTCTTCCTGCCAACCCGCATCCTCGTCGTCATCATTATTCGAGGGCGATACATGTAGCAAATCCCGCAGTTCTTCAATCTATTGTCCTTGGTCAGGTCTTATCAAAATGTAAACTTGAGGGTAAAAGAGAAGACCTCATCGCCCAGACTAGCCCATAGCACGTTGCTCACATAGACACTGGAGGTGCTGTCAATAGCAAGACGACCATTTCGCTGGTCCCCTTGGGGTGGCAGAGCAGCAGTGGACGGGTCCAAGGGCTCTTGTTGCTGGGTTTGTTGGCTTTCCAGCTGTCTAATGATGCTTTCCAGCCGGTCAAGTCTTGTCAGCACCGCCGAGTTGTTCGTGGATTGCTGCGGCCGCTTTGGGGCGCGCCCCGTCCCACTGGGATAAATGCAGGTGGAGGCAGCCCGAATGCAGCCCCCACATGGTTGCTGTCGGTCACATTTGACCTTCCGTGAGCGACAGAGCAGGCAGCTGCGGCGCTGGGAATGGTGTCTTAGGGTGAATGGTTCACTCATGGCTGCTGGGCAGATAGAAGCTAAGGAGCAACCAAAGTGTGATTACCTACTGTTTTGATGATAAGGATAAAAAGGGAAGAGAAGTAGGCCAGTGATGCTTCGGCTCGGCGTCGGATAACTTATGCGACTCCGATGTGCCACCCCGCTAATCCCAAAACATGTAGGATGCTCAAGGATGACTGCGCAGCAGTCCATTATTTCGCTAATTAACAAACGTATCTGTCGCTAAGAGGACAATTATTCCTGTGGACTAATCCGGGCTGTACATGGTAATTCCGAGGATATTTGATATGCCAAAACGCATGGACGCTCTCCCACCTTCATCTGTAGTTATAAATGCTAACATGCAATAAGCATTCTACGTTAGGTCTCAGTACCTGCACACAGCTAAGTTATACTGAGCGCTATCTCATATACAACCCTCAACACCATGGTGTATTAGGCTAGCTGCCCTTAGAAAGAATTCTCCAGACATACAGCTGTTAAAGACCTCTAATGCTTGGTCTTCAGGAAATCTACCACCGCTATAACAGGAACTATGTTAGCAGATGTATTTTAGGAACAAAGAAATAGGAAAAATCACCTGATTTCAACTCCTCCGGCCGCTCCTGAACTACCCAGTGTCCACAATCTATATTGACGATCCGTGACTGAGGAAAGAAGGAAGACATGAGTGGAAACGCATTATCCGGGATATAATGACTTCGAAGTGCCCGAATAAAAAGGGTAGGATTGTGAAATTGTACCGACTCCTTGTTGTGTGGGAAATCGCCCAAGGGAGTCAATGCCGTGTTGAGTATATCCACCGGAACGCGGGATTTTAGATATGGCGTGTCGCTGTCTTTGACAAAATTGCTCAGCAACCATAACCGTATGGGTAAAGACTGGCTCAATCAATGTCAGCATCCGTCTTACGCGAAGGGTGGAAATAGAATAGCCGCACGTACATCTTCATATTCTTGCAGGATCATCTCAGCCTCGTGGTGCGTTTTCACCTTGGCATCCCTTACTTTGGCAATTCCTTTTAAATACCTTGGAAAGTCATCCGTCAGAGGTAAACGGATTGGACAGTTGTCGATGGCTACAACGTCGGAGACGAGATCTGGCAGTTGAAGAGCAAGTGTTAAAGCGGTTTTGGCACCCCTGGCAGTAGATTAGCAATGACGAGAGATCCGGGATGCCCGAAAAGGGAGTTGCACATAGAATGACCGATAAGTGTTGCTCTCTCCATCCCATGGCTCTGCATGAAAGATGCAACGTCCAGCGCCATTTCCATGTAATCATGTTTCAAGTGATGGCCCGACTCGCCATGATTACGAAGATCCTTCATTCATGTCAGCTTGAAAAGTCACCAAGACTTGATTTGGATGCAATGCTTACTACAGCGAAGACCGGTCTCGATAGATCTCTAGCCAATAGCCTCAATCAAAGGGTAAGCCGGGAACCTAACGGTGGGACAAGACCACATAGTAGCTTACTTGCTCATCCTTCGGTTTTCTCGCTTCGACCCAAGGAATCCATGCAGGAATATTATGGGGACATGCTTGTTGGCACCCGAATTCTTGCAGCCTGCAGGTGTGAGGCTGTGTAGCTCATACGCCAGAGCGACCCTTGTAGTTGCAGCCGGCGAAGAAAGTGGTTTCATGCGCACGAGGCTTTGACCCAAATTCTTTAGAGCAGCAGACATGGGAATCAAGAAGCAGGTATTTAACACTCTGGCTTAGTAAATTGAGTCCCTCCGTGGTTATTTTGGAAAGGAAAAAGCATAATCGGCACTCATGCCATGACTCATCTAACCCTTTTTAGCTGCCGTGAACCACACGCTAGTCCGTTGGAGGTTAGGTTGGTTACCACCATGAATCCTGACTATTCTATTCTGGAGTAAACCAATTCTTTTTAATTTATTTGATTTAGCACGTTTACTGCATTACCTTCACCCTCTTCGCCAGACCTTCTCATGGTTTTATGAGGCCATTGGTTCGAGTACTAAGAGTTAAGTAAAATATGTGCACTAGCGGGCCAATATGTTCAACAGGTTCAGGGGCCCCGCAAGGTGTTCTTTCATCCTCAGTAGCTCATACTCAATGAGCTAGTACTCCGTCTTTCCTCGTCGTTCTTGATCGGTGATCTTGTGTTAGCCACCACTCAAATGAGAAAGGCGATTAAATTCTCGGCCACAAGCTCTCAGCACTTGCTAGTTCCCAGATCCAGTTCATGGTGGTGATTGACAAATAGCGCTAAAGAGCATTGCCACTATTCTGCTGGTTGTTACTGTAATTTATGCACCTATTTTCCAAGTCTGGAGGCCACGCCATCAAAGTTGAAATCCAATCCTAGAGTATGGTTACTGAACAAAGACTAGATTCGAGTTTCCTTGAAATTCCCTCTTACGTCTGCAAGTCCTCAGTCTGGACATAACTTTCAGAGATTCTTTCCGAAAAACTCCACAAGCTTCGGGCCAGATACCGCAAGGTCATCATAGAGGTCGAAATGGTTCTTTCCTTCGACGATGAAGAGCTCCTTAGGCTCACGGGCCGCAGCAACTGCGGTTGCACTGTAGTGAAGAGTCTGAGCCTTGGATCCGGCGATCATTAACAATGGCCGTGGAGAGATCAGGTGTTGGAAGTTGAATGAGTCATAGCTGACCATAAGGTCGTAGCTGGAGGGAGGAACTTTCTGGTCCGAACGTGGATGGTTTCCGCGCTTAGATCCGTAGTATGCAGCTGCATCCTTGAAGAAAGAGTCGGCATCATCGGGAATCTGCTTGATGTCGGAGCTGAACATGGGGGGCGGTTCCGAGTGAGGCCCGCGAGCCTCCTGCGTCCGCCATTGTCCTGCCGCCTGAAGAGCCCCGGCAATAGCCTGAGGGGTCTCCTTGTTGTTTTCCTCATGTAGGCCTCCATTACGGGTCATGCGACCAACACAAGCGGCACTGACAGTTGCCAGAGCCTTGACCCGCGAGTCAGACTGGGCCGCGTAGGATGTATAACCACCCGAGGCGCAAATTCCAAGGACACCAATACGGGCCGGGTCAACCTTGCCCTTGAGAGTGGTCAAGTAGCTCACAGCAGCCTTGTTATCTTCTACTCTCTGATGGGGATCTTCAAGGCCACGTGGCTGGCCGGTGCTTTCCCCTTGGTACCCTGCGTCGAACGTGAGGGCGTAGAAACCGGCTTTGGATAGGAATCGGGCATGGTCCGCAGAGGTTTGTTCTTTAACACCGGTCATGGGGTGACTGATCACAACTGCAGCACCCTTGTGGTCAGGAGAGCCGGCTACAGGTGCATAGAGCTCGCCGCTGATCTGCAGCATGAAAGAGGGAAAAGTGACTTTCGTTGGTGCAGACATTGTAGTGGATAACGATGATCCGAGTAGGGACAGATAACGATGGTCCAGGTTTTGAGAGAATTACCGTCGAGATAGATCCTTTAAAAGTGCTGGTTGTTCTCTGCTGGAGCTCTTATATACAGTACTCAAAGTCCATGACGTGAAGGGGGCGCACCCCCGAAAAGCCCGAAAAATTTCGGGAAAAAGAGTGGTATGCGGGACTGACAGTATACAGCTCCTCATGATAACTAGATGAATATGTGACTGCGCTCGGCGATAACTGGCGATAAAGTCTAAGGCTAAAATGGTATCTTGCGTCTTATAAGTCAGAATTGTTAGTGGCTCCTGAGGCATCCCCGATCAAAGTTCCTCCGCTAGGCATAGTGTCTTTGATCATCACCCACCTTGCTTTCATTCTTCTTCATTTCCCTTATAATGAGATCCAAGGTGGCCGGCATTACACCCTCTACGGTGTACGTCCCGTGTGGCTTGCTATCACACACACTACAGACAGACAAATTACCTACCCCAATGTAGATGCACAACAGTATAATAGCTCTCGCGACTTCTTGTAGGGTTCTTGGTACAAATAAGAAGATAGGCTATGCATTGACATTGAGTATAGTACACCGCACTCCGTTCTAGCCATCCTCAGCTCTCATATAAAGTTCTACTTTGCAACATTGCTTCGGTAACCATCAATGAGCAGCAACGCGCTTCAAGGAATAATGTTAGGCACCAGTGGCTGCGTTTCTCCGCTTTCCCCGCTTTATTAGTAAAGTTTCCTCAATCGGACCTTTGGCTCGATATGATGTTTACTCGAAACATCATATTCCTCTTCCTGTAGATTATCAATCATGATACACCATCTAAAGTATCCTACATGATGGGTGATTGTCAGCTTGTCGTATCCAAAACCAGCCTTGCTATATCGACGATCACAACAGCATGGGTGATCTAGATGCCAGTATTCAAGAGTCAGCCATTTGACTTTCCTCCTAAATGTGGTACCTGTGCTAAATTCGACAGATATTTCCATTCGTCAATCTTTAGATTTGACAGTCATGACAAAAGAATGAGAGTTCAAAGTGCGCAAATTGATCATTTGCGGACAGTGTGGATATCTCTCGCGCCTTTTTAAATGTGACTGGGATGTAAGTGAGAATTAATTGACAGAAGATTATAAGATGCTTAGGTACAAATAGGAAACAAAAGAGGTACGCTAAAGCTTGTTGAAGATGATCCTGCAGCTATCGAGGCAATGATCTGCTTTATGGATGGGTTTAACTTTCAACTATGATAGTACTGGCAGCGATCGCAGTCGGACATCCCCAATGCATCAACAACCCTGCACGTGGTGCTCAACATCCTTTTTGAAATAAGAGCATGTAGTCAGGCATGACCACTCAGATACACGAGCCTTGCATAACCATCCTTGTTTGGTCCGAGATTGATGGACTGAGAGTGCTCCTTGGCGAAAGCTACCGCAGCGGAAACGCCGGCCCCCCCACTGTTTCTAGGTAGATCCCGTCATGACCTTTATTACTTCCGTGAGCATCCGAGAACTGTATTTAACAAGCTTGTGGGGGATCTCTAAGGTTTAATCTTGATTTACCTTAACCATTTGTTTTCCTATCATTAACCTTACGGCACTGGTATCCTTACCTGGTTAACAGGCTGATCTACCTTGATAAAGTAGATCTTTGACACGACACAAGAGAACCTTCTTCAGCCTGTGAAAATTCTTTAATATATTAAATCATCTCCCCAGAAGTGTGAGAATTTCTATGCCCTATACACTTACTTTCATCTAACCAAATATATTTCTGTCAGTCCAACGTTACAATGTCCGAGCGTCAAAATGGAACGGTCAAATGGTTTAATGATGAAAAGGGATTTGGCTTTATTACCCCAGAGTCTGGCCCAGATTTATTTGTTCACTTTCGGTCAATTGAAACAGGTGGATTTAGATCCCTTAAAGAGGGGCAATCGGTCTCTTTCGAAGTAGTTGAAGGGCAGAAGGGTATGCAGGCGGACAGAGTTCGGGTAGAGCAGACCTGATTCCACAAGTTAGCACAGGTTTGTATATGCACTTGCTCTCAAACCCTAATCGCATGTCTTGACTGAGGCCACGAGATTCTGTAAAGATTCCATGCACATGGAGGGTTAAGCCTCCTACATGAGCCTTAAGGATTTAGTCTATGAAAATGACGCTGTTAGAGTCTCAGCCGTAGTGATCTTCTTTAGGTTTTTTTCTCTCTTCAGGTCTTCATTAACCTAAATCATTTTATCCTCTTCCACTAATATTGACTATAAGATTTGACTCCAAAACCATTCTCGGACACCTAGTACAATCCCCCGCGCAATCCTCCACGACCCTCATACCTTACTTTGATTGCTCTACTATCCAGCTTAAGACCCGCGAAGTTATGAATTAGCTCTGGATATGGGAACTCTATCCTAAAATCTCAGCATCATATGAAACGTAGCCGAATTCCTGCTATAGCCTGTGTCGTTGTGCTCGACTTTCTATTTTCTCTGAGCACTGATTAGACGGTGGAAAAAACCAACCCCTTTGCAATAGCAATGGGATGATCATCCATTTCCCAATTTTGAAGATTTCTCCCTTGCATGTGCTTCCAATTTCAGGATATTGTATTTATCCCCAACCTGGTAGACTTCGACGTTGAAAAGCCTGGTGCGGGCTAATGCATCCTGCATGGCTCGAATATTCTTGGGGATGGATGTTGAAATTGGGGATGACCAAGAGGGCCCGGTGATGCCAAACACCCACTGTCGGAGGGGGCTTCCCCCACAAATTCCCCTAGGTTGAGGAGTAGTAATTGAATCAAGATAATGATATTATCTATGTACTAAATTGCTCTACATCTTTTAAGAAGTTATGTCAGAGATGCCCAGCCTCTTGATAATAACGCTTTGCCCCCTCGTGAAGCGGGATGGGGGATCGAGCCATCTTGGCAGGACAAAGTGGATATGTCAAGGGAGATCTTTCAGGCTTGAGGTGCTTATACTGGCCCTCAATGGCGGACCTAGTCTCCACCAGGCACCAGGTCAAAAGATGGGCGATGTCCTCGGGTAGATCGTCGCGGACGAGGACGACAAAGTCTGAAAAGTCGAGCGTGTGGAGGGGCTCAGCGAGGGTCGACCAGAACCCTGTCGGCAGGGGGTCAGGATCCTGAGCCGCGGTGTTTGGATATTTCTCGGCGAAGAGAGCTAGAGCAGAAGCCTCAGCGGGCAGCGCATCATACTTGTAATTTTCCATGATGTCCGCCCACCACGGCGTCATGATGGCCTCTTGCAGCAGCGCATCAGCTTCGCCAGCCTGGACGAGGGCGATGGCCTGCTCGGGACGGTGTGCCGTGACGTACTTGCCGCCCCATGACTCGAGGACTTCAGCGGTAATGCCGTGGCACTCCATGAAGGCATACGCTGTGAAGCCGATAAAATTGGTGCCATCGTTGGTGGACGTCGCGATGCGCAGTGCAGGGCGCTTCTGGCGCAAGTCCTCGAATGACTTGATCCCATATTTGGGGTCAATGGCCAAAACCATGCGGTCATTTTGTGGCAGCACGCCGAGGGCACGCAACGAAGGCATTGGGCCGTGAGGTGCAAAGATGCCTTGGCCAGTGAGAGCGGTGCTTATCATTTGTGCCGGCGTCGCAATGGCAAGCTGCGCCTCCCCACGGAACACGTCGAGGACAGCTTCGATGCCGCCGTAGCGGATGTTCCAGATCCCGACACGACTATCACCCCCTGCTCGATCACAGAACTGCTGAGTCAACCATGAACATATCCGATGGAAGTTGGCCATGCCCCAGTCGCCCACAAAGTTGAGTCTAATGGATCGCTCAAGCCGAGGGCCCCGACTCTGCTGCTCCACGATATCCTTGACATTTGGTGTGGCCATCCTTGTCTTTGCCTTGTTCCTTGCAAGCGTGTTAAAAGAAGTGGAATAAGATAGACGGACTTTGTGTTAGTGTAAGGGACTGAACAGTGTGGTGTGGGAAAAGGGTGATTGCAAAACAACAACGGCGATATGTACTGTCCTTGTCAGTCTAGACAGCGCACACTACCGCTCAAACACCATGGAACTCTGGATAAGAAAAATGGAAATATACTGAGTGGCGGGACCTATGACAGCAGCTCAGCGCMCGAAGCGGGACGCTTGGTCGTCTCAAACAAGTTGTGCAACTCCGCATGTTGCCGTCTCGCCAGACAATATATCATCACTGCACTTCCATGGTTGCTTTTTCTTACTTTCTTTTCATTTAATTCGAAGAGGCCAAACCTAGTACTGATTTGAAATGCACAAATTATAAGGAGTCCTTGCAATCAAAACGTGGTATAATATGGCCACCGAACGTCAGCTAGTTTGTCTCACTATTCTGTCCTACAGAAGGGCTGAAATTAGTGAACAATCCTATCGCGATTACATGCTAAACACGCACGCTCCTCTTGTTGGCAAACTACTTGAGAAATACGGCGTTTTGCAATGGACTATGGTGAGCGGCGATTGCCTCTGCTCTTCTCAATATTACTGACTTAACTTATCCCACCTAGTCACACAATACTAGCATGACGCGGCCGATGACTGACGCCCTTCACGACGAACAATTCATATACACTGCCGACTATCACAGCGTCGTGCAATTTGTTCTTCCCGATATCGAATGTTTTGCGAAAATGCAGGAAGATCCATTCTACGTGGATAATATCAAGCCCGACCATGAGCGGTTTGCTGATACGGAGAAGTCAAAGTGAGCTGACTTTCTCCTGTTACTCCTGCCCTTTAAAACCCTGATCCCAAAGTGAGAGGACACTAACAATTTGATTAGATTCATGGTGGGATATTACACAAAGCTCATGGAAGATGGGCAATTCCTGTGGCCAGTCGCTGGGTAGTGAAATATCCGCACCTCATACCTTGGCAACGATCGTGTTCTGTCCATTCTGGCGTGGCGAAATCCAGTACAACCAAATTTGTGTCGGGTTTGGCTGCCCCATTTAAGCTAGTACAGGGTATTTAGCTTGCCATAGTTGGAATTCTCGCTCTCAGTGAAGATGGGTAGTAGATCAGCGGGAATTCAGAGCTCTCATCTTCTTCAAGCACGCGGGCTGCCAGAATGAATGGAAGTGGTTATTGCTTGTGGGCCCACAAGCCGTGGCAAAAGCCGAAACCCGCAAACACCGTAGAACGATTGATCCTACTATCCTGCTCTACCGCTTTACCCCAAATGCGGGACGTGAATGCCAAAAGGAATACCAAGGCTATACTCAATTTATGCTGGCCCCGCATAAGATTTCGCGGGACTCTGGCATCAAGTAGTATCCGCATATCGCAAATACTTGCAAGGACGTGGCAGGCAAAAGCCGACTGGTGTCAACTGCGGAGCCCTCAAAAGTCGTAAGCCACAGTTTCTGCGGCTGGTAGGAGATACCGGGAATAGGCATCACTTTTTGTATCATTCTGACCGATCTAGTAGACTAGCTTTGATTGCGAGAATAACAGACAGTATATAGAACTAACTACAGCAGTAGTGAATGTAAACTACCTAATGCCCGTCAGCTCGCTCTTCTGTCTCTTCAGTTCATAGGTGTAAAGTATCATATCCTCAGTCTGGTCGTTTTCCCATCTCGTCAGATCTCGCTATATGATCAAGTCGGATCATGCCGTGGCTCCGTTGTGAAGTGATCGGGTGGCAGTGAGGCAGAATCATGGCAACCCCTCTGACAAAAACATAAGCTCGATAATGGCACCATGAGAGACTAGGGGAACAAAGGACTCAGAATGGAAAAATAGAAGGAAAAAAAAATTCACCTATCACGTTCTAGCTACATTCCAGTTTTGGTGAGCTATTCCGGCCTGGTGGAGGCACTCGATAGGTATACATCGGTGGAAAATCCAGCATGCTTTATTTCAAGGCACATGACGGCTACATATATTCCTCCTAATCAAGGCCCTAAGACGTCTATGCACGCTGATACAACAAGCCGCAACTAAAGTTGGTAGTCTGTGTCGCCATGGTCAACCGTCAGCTTCAATCTCTCTTCGAGCCCTTTGAGCGGCTTTGGAGGCGTGCTGTGATCCAGTACTCTGTCTGCCAATAACCAGGTATGAATTGGAATGCGAGACCACGGAAAATCTTGCCGAGCGTGAAAGGCGCGTACAACAGGGGATTCTCCGCTCGCGCACTCGACACTCCGATGCGAGGCAGATTCTCTAATGGAGCAGAGGTACAGACGCGTACGAATCCCTCAGCCAAGTCCTCATATGAGCAGGCTATATAGGCAAATTCGGTGCTCAGGACACAGCCTGTTGGTTTCTCTTCAACGAGAGCATTTGGCTGGATGAGTGTAACTGAGAGAAGTTCCGGCACAGCCAGAAGCATCTCCTGGGCTTTGATTAAGTCATTGTAAGGCTTGTCAAATGCGGTTCGAATCATCCAATGTAAAATGGCTGGTCGGGCTGCTGCGAATCGGGGGTTCATAGTCGCGGAGGACAGCATGATGAGGCGCGGTTGCATCGAACATCCATTCTTGCTTTGGAGGGTTGATAGAGCATTGATCGTTGCTCGAGCAAAATCCTCAAGAACAGTAACTCCTGGGATGTTCTCATTCTCTCCCAATGTGCAAATGATTGTGCTAGCTGCAGCAAGACAATTCTGAATCAAAGCATGATCTTTGATACTTCCTTCAAAGACTTTCACTCGGCGGTCATTTGATAGTGAAGGAAACAGTATTTCTAGCTTGGCTCGGGAGCGAACGTAGATATTGATACCATGTGCAGAGAGGTCCGAGTTCTCCAATAGCTTCTTCAGGACCATTCGACCAGTATGACCGGTGGCACCTAGCAGGGCAAGGCGGCCTGGGCCAGACTTGAGATTCGACTCTGCCATGTAAACGATCCAATGTGTCTGATATGCGGCATGAAGTAGGAGATATTCAAAGTATAATGTCTCTGCTAAAACTCGTGAGACCCTGCCATAGCCAGCTATTTATGATATGGACAGTAAAAGCCATTCATATATATATGAAATCTTGGACGTATTTCCCCGGTATTGAAAAACGAAACCAAACGTCCCTCCTGTCCGGTGAAATGGCGTGGGACAAAGGGAAGATACCTAAATGCGGGGAACCAAACTTCATCTCATACAATAGTGTGCAGCATGATGTCTCCGACTATGATTTCTTGGTCATAGCGCATCTCGGCCTTCGGTAATTAAATAAACTGTTAATTCCGACGACAGATCCGGTCATAGCAAGTGGTGGAATTCAGACAGGCCTCTGCAGGGGACCTGGATGTCCAGGAGGGTCAGGATCACTTTGGTAGAAACAGGCGTTACCGTGATGATGAACAGGGCAATGGTGCAAATCATGATGGCGAGTCATTTCCTGAGAAGCCTTCGATCCCACATTATGAGTGATGCAAAACCATTCTTGTCATTCTGGGGCCTCAAGAGCTAGCGCTTAGTGTACGAGTTCTCTCCGTTCCACATTCCTTTGTGTGTTTGGAGTAAGCGGTCATTTGTTGATTTTGCTTATTTGGACACCGAGATCCCCAGAGGATACGGACCGGTGTTACTGTAACCTAAGTTTAGGGCCTGCGAGTAAGCCAGCACGGACCATTAATCGATTAGGTTGTCATGATCGGGCAAGTCCGCGGTGCCCTCTTCAAGCGATATTATATTCCATAGTTCAGCCACGGATGGCAGTGATTTGATTTCAGCGCTTAACCAAAGCTCGCCCTAGGCCATTTCGAGAAAATGGATGGAAAATTACTCCACCCCCACCTCGGGATTTGCCAGATTTTGGCCCAAACTAATCCCACTCAGCAGAGGTTCATGTGGTCTATAGTCAAGAGACGAAGAATCCTTGTCTGCGGGACTGGCCCACTGAGCCCCAGATGCCGCAGGCTAGTCCCGCAGCCCAGTCCCCTCAGGATAACCCTGTTTCATTTCACCGCTGCCATCGTCAACTGGGAGAATTATTTTACTTTATGATATGCAGATATGAAAATCCGCTTGACAGTGCTCGCGGAAGAAGAGTTGCTGGGTTGGCCAACCAGAGGTTTGGCGATGATATGATGTAAGGTGGCGTGAAAAACAATCGATTGCGGAGCAAAAGGTTGTACTGTATTGTTAATGAATATCCCTGGAGATAACCCACTGGTGTTCTGCCTTCTTGGTCCTTCAATAATGTAGCCTTCTGCCAAATCCACGGACGACTCCAGGAAAGAGACTCGTACGCTTGGGATGATCCGGTATGTGTCCTAGTGCACATCGGCAAACAAAAAGCCGAGACGCGCAAAATCCGACCATACGCCGCAAGCCCGCAAAGCCCGAGGTCCATCATGCGCGCGCTACATCGACCCACGCAATAACCTTAAGCTCAACTTAGTATTCTCCACAGTACATTGCACACAATAGTTTGTCATAAACAGTGGTCCAGCCGAGCATAGACGGCACCGATTATTTATCCACCAGCATTGCCCGCGAACAGAATCAATATTTATTCTAGTGGCTTTTATTATCTAGTAAAGTCTCTTGTAACAAACTACAATGGACGAAGCTCCCCCACTCGTGCGACTTCCCTCGCGAACGCTCCCGCCTGTTCTCAAACCTGTGTTCACACTTGAGGGCCACGACGATGAAAGAGCTACAACTCTGCGACGGCTCTTGGAGAAGGGCCATGTCTCGGTAGCACCGCTTCGAGAGCCGAAGTTAATTCTTCACAGCCATCTCCCTCATGTATGTCAAGAAATAGCCGCCCTGAAATGTATATACTGTGAACGATGATGTTTACGCTTCTTTTTAGCTTCTTGGATCGGCCTACCTTCTTGGTGCGAGCAGCACATTGCTTGAAGAGCTTTATGAGCATGAGGTTTCGACTCTTGTTCAGGTTGATGACAGTTTCATCCGAGGCGATGCAATTACAAGGGAAAATTGGAGGGACTTTTTGACTCAAAAAAGGTATCACCAGGACTTCATCAAATCTGCAAGGCCTGAACGATTTCCGACTCAAGCTAACTGCTTGCGTAGCTACACGGTCGCTTACGTGGACTTTTTTGACAAGGAGATCGAGCGTCAAAATGGGGACTGGAGGCAGGTCCTGAAGTCGTATCTGTTCTCTGGACCGGAACCTCTTATCAATGGTTATGCGGGTGGTCGTAAGTTCACCCGTCGCTCAGGACTTGACAGTTAGCTAACTTTGCCCTATAGTGGGCCACCCTTTTATCCACTTGGCTTACTCATGGGAGCTTCAGTCTCCTACTGTAGCTTCGGAGGCTCTGTCCTTAGGGTGCACCGAGTACTTCGGAGTGCACCATCTCCTTGATCAATATCCTCCAGATAACTCCACTTACAAGACCACAAGCCTTGCCGACGTTATCCATCGAATATATAAAGACAAGCGGTTTGATAACCTGTTCCAGGAACAAGGGATTACCAATATCGAGGTTCTGCTGCAAAAACGGTACGAGGCCGTTCTAGAACACTGGAACGCTTGGCACGTGTCGGATTCTCTTGCACAACTGGAACACTGCTGCGATGTGTCGGTGCTGTTGGCAATCGCAACAGGCAATCGCGAGGCCAAGTACGACTTCTATCTGGTCCATACAATGACTGTTGCGCACGCCCTTCGCGTTTTGTGGGATCAGTTCCCTACAGAGCAACGCATTTGTATTCTACGACAATACGCGCTTTTCTTAATCTTGGTATACATTTGCCAAAAGAAGCCAGCCTTCGAAGCCAACATCATCGATAAAATACTGTCCGTGGACCTTGGTGGACAGGACTGGGAGTCTGTGCGGGCGGAAGCGTTGGGACATCGGTGGCTTAAAGACTCACACTTCTTTAAGGTCGTGAGAGCCCCCATGGCATTTGAAGAAACTTACGGGAAGAAGGACAACTTTTACCTCAAGGCATCCGCCAAGTTCATCGCTGAGTTTGATGGTTGGGAAGGATTCGGCCTTGGTGTTGAAGGCTTCCTCCCTAATCGTGATGGCTACAAGCCGACTTGAAGCCTGACGACAGATTGTAGTAGGTCTCACCGCTTGGAAATGAGCTGGTTGTGTTTGCATATGCAACGAAAGTTTTGATAAAGACTGCCATAACTCAGATGGAGTGAATATTAAATTTGATGATTCTGAGCTCTTCCACCTCACAGGGTGGGCCTGTAGTCAATGACTCGAAGCCCAATTCACCCGAAGGCCATGATACATCTGGGTGGCAAAATGAGGAAACGGACCGCCAGCTCCACAACGGATTAAGGTGTTTGCTGCGATAGCTGAGTTTGCGACTGCGAGGTAAACATCTACTGAATAATTTAGTCCTTGCATGAAGATGACAAGAATGCCAATGCCGATGGGGACGGAGATCACTTGTGCAACCCACGAGATGGAGGTTTTGGAAGTCCATCACAACCAGAGAAGTCCGACGTGTAGTCGGATGGATGCAATCATTATCGGGACCAGGCGTTCCTCAGGCACAATATGACTGTGTTCTTGAAACTTGCGTGCACTCCATTGCTGATCCAGCCACGAACTTGCACCTAAGATATAGAGTACGCCTTGTTGAAGAGCATATCTCTATGCCACATTATGCATCTTCATTTATCTCTGAATATAGCATTATATACTTCCACGTGCCCCTAGGGAGCCTTTTAATCACCTATTCTCCTTAAGTAACCTCCCTTAGAATAGGTCTGGAAAGGGCTCATTTTAAATTGCTCCTGAACAGGCCTCACACGTTCTATTTCTTAGATCACGATGTAGTGGATACCTTTGTAGATGCACATGTTACAAATATATGCTATTTCCTTGGAAATTCTAGGAATGCATCCAGTTCTAAGCTGGCCTCAATCTGTACTAGCTAGCACAACTGTCAATTGCCACAGCCTTCTCACAATAAGCACTCAATATCACCAAGCTGGAATTTGGTGACGTCTGGTATCCCAGAATTAGTGAAATCGAAGGACCTGAATCCAAAGTTGTGGTGGACTCACATTTAGGAAGAGCAGATGTTGCTTACGGCCACCTTCTGCACAATGTGCTGGTATATAATGGTTCCCTTAGGGTATTCTTCGAGGGTCTTCTGGAAGATCTCTTGTTGGTAGGCGTTACGTAGTGCCTCAACAGACTCCCACGTAGCAATGTTCAGAATAAGATTGCTATTGTCAATGCCCTTGTGCAACTGGGCATGAAGGAAACCGGGTTGAGACTTCATAAGGTGGCCATCTTTCTCCCAAACAGCAAGGACAAGCGTCATGCTGGCCGTTGGGGACAATCACCGTATCCATTAAGACGATGGGTCCGGCCTTTTTTTCAAGCTGAGATAGAAAGGAGTTTTCGGGGTCGATATTGCCGAAGGTGGCCATTTTGCGAGATTCGGAAATGAATAGGAAGCAGAGGGATTGAGTTTTGGTTTTTCTGTCTTGTTCGGTTGATGGTAGTTCTCGCTGTCCTGGATTGAAGATATTTATAAATCCCGGTAGTTCTGAGACCATGTGCTTATCCCCGAGCAAACAACCATTGTCGCGTTCTAAAGCCGTCTTCGGGTGCGGAATTCACCACCACGCACTACAGTGCCTCTGTTGACCGAGCATTACTCAAGGATGATCCTCAAGGATGATCCTCAAGTCAGAGCTTACGTAATCGGTCTCTTAGGGGCCTAATACAACGCGGTAATGCGTAATACAGTTATAAACACGGGTGGGACCGTGGGACAGTGGGACAATTTTGCTTCCAAGGGTTGAAGTTCTGGAACAATCGTCTACGAGTAATGCAGCTCGATTGGCTTACCTTGAAAGAATGCTAACTTGGCTGCTCAATTTTGTGCTGTTGAAGCTAAGTTATGGAAGCATCGTGAATCCAGCAGAGAACAGTAATGTTACGGCGCACCTGCCACTCCGATGAGGTATTTACGGACTTTGCGGCTTCTGGAGCTTCGGCGATATCACCAGCGTCTATGTGCTTGTCGCTGAGTGAGGGCAGTTTCCGGGTCGTCGCGTTGAAGAGGGGACACAAGGTTTCTTGTACTTGTTAGGAGGCATACGAAGGATCCAACCTGGACAATCAAGGACGGGGATAGATTATTCTTGGAAGTCTGCATAAATGCACATGTATATAAATAGAGCCTTATATCGCTCTGCAATGAAGTCTCCCCAACGATACTTCCTTGCTTAGCTTTGCCGCAAACTCATCAGTCTCGCTACATTGAGATCTTTTTTCTAACTTCAAAAACCATGTCTGAAAACTTGCAATTCTTCACCGACCTGGACCCGGAAAATCCGTTTACCAAACAGGTCCAACAGACCCGTGGMCCTGTAACTCTAGTCAACACTTTTATTGTGCCCCAGGGAAAGATGGACGAGTTCCTCAGAGTGTGGAAAGATGACGCGGCATTCATGAAGGCACAGCCCGGATTCCTCTCTGCGCAGTTGTATAGGGGGGTTGAAAGCAACGTTATCATTAACGTTGCGAATTGGGAGACATCTGCGAACCTTGCCAACGCAGTCCTGTCGTCATATTTCCAAGAAAACCTCAAACGCTATCCGGAAGGTCTCAAGATCTGTCCACAGCTTCTGGAGAAGATGGCGATCCCGAATCTCTGCACGGCTTAATGCGGAATTCTGTACGCGTGTTTATTCTGGATTGTGGTTCTCACAGAATGATGCTGACTCTACCGTTAGCTATTCGAGAAAGTTCGGACAGTGGGATGCTACTAGAATCGATATTGGAATCCTCATCATATGATACTGAGTGTTTTGTTTGCTGAACCAAGATATGGTATCTGAAAAAGAAAACAGTAGTCTCATCGCAAATGGCCCGCGTTTTCACGTAGGAAAGCTTCACACGAGAGACTATCGAAACCACCACTAACCCCAGAGAGCGAATATAGAAACCACTCCTCTAGGCACATGAGCACCTTAACTAGCCCCCGAGTCAATGGGAAGCTATACTATGGTTTGATGAACATGGGTAAATCCAGGCCGCCATACACGTACGTAGGTCACTCACCGAAAGGAAGAGTCACACCCTGGGATCCGTCCTACTGTTTTCTGCTAGTCACTAGCTTGGAGTCGGGATGCTATAGGCCGACAGGTCTTTAGATTTATACTTGCCTAGTATATCGACCAGGTATAGGACTGACACAGTGATACAAGGATCCGAACAGGATCAGGGACAATCACAGGTAACACAAGACCAATAACACAAGAGATAGAAACAAGGCCTATCGTGTATGTATCCTCAATAACGAATCGGACTAGTGATCTTATACTCAAGTGAGGATTTGATATTGAACGCGAGGAAATAAACTAAGAGAGTCAGGTACAATAACAATGAGTGTTTGTATATCCCACAGTCCCTCCAGTTGGTGGACATGTGGGTATGTTATTGAGATGCAACTGGTATACCGATACTTCAATTGAGTGGTTTTGGCATATCGTCTATGCCAACAGTCTCGTGTCTGCCGTTGTTTGAGACTTTGAGGCCTGTTCACTCATGGGCTATTATTACTGTAATCATAGTAATAGTTAAACTAAATCGTGCGAGATTACATAGACACGGGGTTATGTGGCTACATTTCACTTCACTTTGTCAGTCATTAGCATCGAACCAAAACTCTCCTGACGGCCTCTCCTAACCAACTCGGCTTTCTAGGTCGCCATGAACGTGGTACGATATCTCGGTCCTCCAGCTGGCGAGTTGTTTATTGGATGGACTGCCACAGGAGTGGTAGTGTCCATATGCTAGAGAGAGGGTCCCGCAGCTCCACCCGCAGGTCCCGCAGTCCTCATACCAACTTAGCAGCACGATGCCGGCATTACAGCTACCTTCTCAACATCCAGGGTGTTGGATGGATTGGACTCAAACTTCATTTTGACTGCAGAGGGCTAATAAATATGCGGGGGCCAAGAACTGGCTCCGACCCCCGCAACATCTGGAGTCCCTTGCTTCCCTTGCTTTAGACTTTAGGAAGGACGACAAATTCTTTCTTCACTATTGCCTGCCATTTACCTCTACTTCTCAGGAAATGCAGTATGAATAACCATGATTGGGAGACAACCGATATCCTCATCTGCGGCTGTGGTCCGACAGGCGCCCTCTTGTCTGCCTACCTTGGCCAGATGCGCATCTCGAACGTGGTCTTGGAGAAGGAAGCAAACATCACCACCGATCCGCGAGGTATAGCTCTAGATGAAGATGGGATACGCATATTGCAGGGAGTAGGTCTGTACGATTCAATCTATACGGAGATTGGGTCTTGCATGGGCAAGTTCCACTTTATCAGCGGGTCAGACACAAATTTGATGAAGCAGCCATTCGTTAGCATGGACTACAACACTGTAAGTTCTTCTGACTCTATTGTTGATCTGATGAGATTCTTAACGTGGACAATCTTCAGACAGCAGGGGGAACAGGGCATGTCGGATATATCTGTCACAAACAGCCGACCCTTGAGAAGAAGCTTAGAGAGGCGATATTGGCCTCTTCAACCTGTTCCCTAAGATCTGAGTCAACTGTTGTTGATATCAAAGAAGACGACAACTGGACGTATTGCACCTACAGAAACACAGAAGGCACCGAGCGCAAAATTCGCGCTCGCTTCTTTGTAGGGGCTGATGGGAAAACTGGGTTCACGCGCAAGCAATATCTAGAGGAAAAGGGTGCCTTTATGGAGAAGGTGGCTGAGTTAGTAAAACCAACACTGTCGACCATGATTTAGACTGCGATATTGACTAACCTTTCACTTCAGCATATTCTATGATGAAACATGGGTTGCACTAAACTGGGAAATCACACTTCCCACTCCTCAGAATCATCCTGATTTCCCTCTTTGGGATTTAGGATATACTCCAGAGCAAGTGTACGACCTATTCTTTCCTTGCAACTTTCGCTTTCTATGTAATCCGAACCGCCCAGCTGTTTGCGGTCGTTTTGGAACTCCCAATGATTGACTTTGGAGATTTGAGTTCTTCGTTCAGCCACATGAAGATGGATATCACATGGCCACGCGTGAAATGATACAAAAGATCGTGTTCCCCTATATTACTCATAATGGCAGCCGATATGGGTAAGATTTGCTTCAAACTGTGTGACTGTCGAATTGCTAATTCCGCAGGCTACCTGGTGACGTGCAATTCCCAGAAGACTGCATCAATATTCTGCGATCCCGTCCCTTCGCGTTTTCCGCACGCAGCTGCAATGTCTGGGCTAAGAACCGAGTGATTCTGTGCGGTGATTCAGCACATGTTTTCCCACCCTGTAAGTGAGCTCCCCCCCGCCTGTTTTTCTTAACTCTGTTATGCAATGATACTCATAGTCCAAGTTGGTGGTCAAGGTATCTCTTCCGGATTCCGTGACGCCCTCTCACTGGCATGGCGTCTTGCCATGCTTTGTCGGTACCATCCTTCAAATACTCGAGTCCACCACGAAGTCCTCCGGTCGTGGTACCTAGAGCGCAAACAGCAACTGGAAAAGTCCCTGGCAGCGACCATTGAGAACGGGAAGTTTGTCACCGAAAGTCAACCGCTGAAGTCCTTGGCAAGGGACTGGTATTTCTGGCTAATTCAGCTTGTTCCAAGTTGGAAGCGTCAACTTGAACTGGGGAGGCGTCGGGACGGCATGGTGCGGTATACACATACCGACGGGATGCCTTTCATTCCTGAACTCAACGGAGGCCTCAGCCTTCCTCAGGTCTATGGCAAGAGAACAAACGGAGAGGTTGTCTTCACTGATGATATCATCTTCCGCTCCCAGCAGGGAGATCTCTTTCATATGTTCGTTTACCTGCACAGTAGCCAAGAGATCCAGGAGATCCGAAAGGCCCTACGGGAGGTCGAGCAGCTATCCAAAGGCACGATTGTGGCCAACAACGTCCCTATTATTGTTGAAGAACTGAAGAAAAAAGAAATTGAGGATTGCCCGAATGACATCATCCAATTAGCTACCAGCGAAGATTTCGCGAGCTCTTCACTGTGCAACCAACGACCAAAACCTATGCTTTATGATCCGTTTACCCTTGGCAAAGAAATTCGCGGAAGGTACTGTATTGTTCGACCTGACCGGTTCGTTTATGCCGCCTGCAATGAGATCAAAGACCTACGAGAAGCCATACAGAAGATGCTCTCTTACTTGCACAAAACGTGATTTGTGTATGCATAGCAATGTTCATAGCAAGGATTTGAACTGTTCATAATTTTGCATTCCAATTCATAACGTTGGACAATCAAGTAGCATTGACTTCTCCGATGGCCATCAGTAACTATATAATTTTCCTTCGTGAGTGAAGCACAATTTAATGCTAATACGCTCTTTGCCGCATAATTATGACACCTCGGTAATTGTTTCTACCCCAGACCCGGCGCTCGCAAGCGTGTTTCTCCAGCCATTTGCTGCGGGACTGGGGAGAAGACGGCTGCGGGACCTGAACTCCTCGCCTGCGCTGTACCTCAAAAAGATGATGCAAAAGGATAGACGTGACGGGACATCCACCATATAAGAAGCAAAAAAAGATTACAGATACTGGCAATAATACAATCTTTGGCACTAATTATCCTCACAGTCCTCGCAAACATGACAGAAGAACAACGACCAATACTGCCTCCCTGCCACGGTGCATCCGTCCCTGACATTACAGCAATGGGCCCGGACCAGGAATCAATAGCCTCCTGGAAGGAGAGATGCGGGATCAAATCCGCAAACCAGATCCGCTTAGTGAGATTGGTCCACATGCGGTATCAGCATCCTAATCTGATTGACCTTACTGCTTTCCTCCAAGATTTCGGCATGTACGTGGCCAAACGAACAGCAAACCAAGTCTGGTATAGAGGCTACGGGACCGATCAGTATGTGTATTATGCGCAGGAGGGAGAGGAGAAAAAGTTTCTGGGAGGAACTTTTGAGGTAGAGGAATTTGCGGATTTGGAAAGGTATTCATCATTGCTGAATGTGCATACCGGCGGCTTTTTATGGTAGTTACAGTGCTGATATGAGATGGATAGGGCTGCAAAACTTCCTACCGGGTCTGCCGTCAAGGAGCTCACTGAAGCACCCGGCGGCGGCTACATGGTCACCGTCACAGATCCTGAGGGGTTCCCTGTGAATCTAATGTACGGCCAGCAGCTGGCAAAGCCTGGTCAGTATCCGGAGAGCCTGATGTTTAATACCGAGGTCGAAAAGCCTCGCGTTCGCAGGTTTCAACGATTTGAAGAGGGACCTGCGGCTGTTCATAAGGTATACTCCCTCAATGTGTATCTACATCCACTGTTCTCTACACTAACAGGCCTGCAGCTAGGTCATTACGGCCTATGTGTGAAAGACTTTCCTGCAATGGTGGCCTTCTATACAACAACATTTAATCTGGTTCCCACCGATTTCCTATATGTCGGCGAAGGATCCCAGAAGAAGAATGTCGCTCTCTTCGCACACATTGATCGAGGAGCGGACTACGTAGATCATCACACTTTCTTCATGAGCACCAATAGGACCTCCCACGTCCACCACTGCTCCTTTGAAGTCCATGATTTCGACACTCAAAAACTAGGACATCAGTGGCTGGCGAAGAAAGGATATAGCTCTGTCTGGGGAGTGGGGCGGCATATACTGGGTTCCCAGATATTTGACTACTGGTGGGATACAACTGGAAATATGATTGAGCATTATGCAGATGGTGATATTGTGAATGAGAAGACACCAATTGGGTACCGGCCTGCTGGAAATGAATCGCTCGCTATTTGGGGACCAGAGGTCCCAGCTTGGTTTTTGGATTGAAGCGACGATGATCTGATCCAGCGCGGATTGAATATGGGTATCGCATACCCAGGATGCAAAGTGCTGATTTAGCTCCTTTTACGTAGTCCAAATAAGAGTCTATGAATGCAAAGACTGCAGTTTCAATTTGGATGGATGTGAGTTGGCCATAACAGTTGGAGGATTCTGTCGAGCTCCGGGCGTTTCGATGTCGTGTACAACCATGAACAAATACGACATGATTTGCTGCAATGAATAGTGGTCTGCAGCTAGTGTTCCCAAGAGTATAGTACGTATTCCACACCAATTAGACCTATTCCAGGCTACTAACAGTCCAATTAGTGGCGTGTTTCCTGGAACATGTTGACAGGAAGATGACGGGCCATATTGAAAGCCTCCAGAAGCTTGACGCACAAACGAACCTCGAGCTAAAGAAGGACAGGCTAGACTCTAACCTTAAACCCTGGGAGTATGCCCTCCATCCGATCCGGCCCCCTTTCTCCGCTGCAGAAGGGATTCCGCAAAAAAGAAAGAGACTAGTGCATGAACAGCAAAGAAAAATCCCACTGCCCTAGTACCAAGTTTTGACATTTGAGCATTCTCTGTCAATGAGGTTATCCCGTCCGCGTAACTGTTTCGGGTTGCAAACGTTGGCCAAACAAGCCTCCAGACTAGCTGTCTCTAGCTCTGGAGAAAGATACCGAGTAAACTGCTAAAAAAGACAGTTTTCCAGGAGGCCCCCTACAACTGGATGAAAGTCCGTCGTTGCTATGCTAAGCAGAAGGTAATGACGTACTACACGTTTAGCCCATGGTGGCTATTTCTCCAGACGCGGGGAGGCCTCGGTCTTTGCGGTTTTTGCGTCTCTACCTCAGTCCCCACGTATACTCTAGAATATTCCGCACATCGTCCCTCTCGTGAGCGGGTAAAGTAATACAATGACTTCGAAATTCTATGTAATAGAACAAAGCACTATATTCGCTATCTGTTTCAATCGTTCTGCTTCGCTTTCACAGTGCAACCACAAGAAAACTGCTTCGCGACGCGACATGTCACCACCTTAACCTCGTCCAAAGTACCCACATATATAGCGATACTTCAGGGATTATATGCATTTCATGTAAATTTGTCTACTGAGTTCTGGTGCTCTGTGCGTCACTATCCCCCAGGAGGATTATCAACAACCTCTACAGAAATGAGATGTAAACAAAAGTCCCGTTCTAATCGCCGGAAGCCCTAGAATGCATCTGTATAAATCATGGGCACGGTGCCACTAGTAGAAAGCATATATCCATTCTTGTACACTACATTTTGAACACCATTCAAAACAGATCGAGACAGGAAAAAAATAGAACTGAACATTAAGTCTGGGATATGCCAAGAATGCTTGCCGCCACAGCCGTCCTCGTCAGTATGGCTGCCAAACACACTCCCTGCACGAAATCTCCCAATTCCCTGATTACAACAACGCGGCGGCAATTGCTGTCAAGCTCCCAAGTAAGGGGAGAAAACTTCGAACTCGATTCAGAGAGACCCAGTCGTGCAAGAGCCCTTCGATTTCCGCATCGCTCGCCACAGAACTTCCCCCATCTGATCCCGCAACCTTCAGAAGCGCATCATTAGTCTTACTCATAGCAACGATAGTAAAAGGTACGATGCCGATCGTCAAAATCGCGGCCGTGGTGTACAGTCCAGCGCGCGAGCACGGTACCGCACGGAACAGGGGTGCCGCCGAACGGGACGACAGGGCGAGGTACACAAAAGCAGCAGCCGTCAAGGCAGCGACGGGGGGGTTTTGGGCCTTGCCGGCCTCGTAGAGTCCTCGCCACTGCTTTGCGGTTGCTGTTAGAGGGATATTGGTTTCTTTCTGCGCTCGGAGGAGGGATGGGACCGCGTTCATGCTCAGCGCGGCGATGTTACCTAGGAGTATTGTCGTCAGATGGAATGTAGGCGCGCGGAAATGCAATTTCGCAGTAGTAGCGGCTTACCAGAAAGCCAGGCGGCACCAGTGAAGCCAATGGCTTGGGCGACACGAAACCCGACGGATGACCACATGATTGTCTCCTGGGGATGAAAGTTAGTGGAGGTAGAATAGGAATGCTTGGACAAAATATTCTTTGGGGCTCCTTGGTTTTTGAGACGTGTTATGTAACTCATGTCAGTCCTACGTATGGCAAATAGCTGTCAAAAGCCGACAAAGTCCGGCCTCCGGCGCATCCTGCAGGGCTTCCCCACAATACCCATACTTTGATCACCCGCTCCATGTCTCCACCAGTTACACTTTTTCCTGTATAATAACTAATATTACAAATAAAGCTTTATATAAAATATAATATGTGAGAATTTTACTAAAGTAGAAAAGTATCTTAATAAAAATATACTGGGGTATATTGCATACATTATAATGTTGGTAAGCTCACTGGAACGCTGCTTCATCAGGTAAATATGAATTTTGGGTCTATATACACTCCATTCCTCTCAGCTCTTAAAGATTGAACACCAGGATGGTGATAGATATACTCTGTTATAAGTGGAACTACATGTAGAATATAGGTTTGAGCATTGTTGTACCCCATTCCTTGTCACAGGGTACCATAGGGCCTTTAGTAATTCCTTGCAATGAGCCCCCAAACATCCCTCCCTTCGTACGTGGGCCACTCTCAGTAATACAGTCCTCATGGAATACCCCATATTTACAACATTAACACTGCCTGACTAATGTAGGGTGGAGCAATCACTGAGTCAATTCGGAGCGATTACCTAGTCCTGACGGATTTAACTCGAACTATTGTTAATCTGGATTCAGCCTCAGCTGATTTAGGCCATAGCGGAATCACATGTGTGAGACTTTGGCGTCTCCCGGGTGGGATCGGGAGACGAGGTTCTTACAAAGTCTCGATCCAGCCCCAGTTTTGCCTTCTCCCGCATTATCCCCGCTCCAGGGCACGGTAGGACATCCCGGAGACTCACTGTTCTCCTCCACTCCTTTGCAGTCCTCAGCCTCTGCTCMTATCAGTCTGTATCGGTGGTATCCAACTCCACCACACACCCTCAGAATGACAAGTCCCCGTAGGAAACGTGAGCGCATTTGTCCTTGGTGTTCTCAGTCTTTTTCGAAAGAGGATCACCTGGCTAGGCATGTCCGACGCCATACCCGTGAAAAGCCTTTCTCGTGTGCCACCTGCACAAAGTCTTTTACTCGATATGATTCCCTGCTCCGGCACGCTAGGTCTCATGGCGTCAGCCCGCAGTCGGAGAGCCAGAGAGAGACAAATACAGCAGGGGAGCCTGTTCAAAATGAGACGCTTCAGATTCAKGAACTGTCGCCAGAGTCGATGGCAAATTCAGCACAAGATTCCTTTCCACATGCGAACTCTCTATTAGCTGCCCAGTCGACCAGAGACCTGGTAGTCAGCTCGTCATGCCAAGAGGATCCGCTGCCGGTGAGCTTTTATGACTGGCCGGTAGACTGGGCCTCACAGCCGTCAACGTGGCTGGCGGATGCTGACTTCGATCTGAACGCGCTCAATGCATCGGTCATCACTTCTTCTATGCCGTTAAATTATCCAACCCCAGCCCCACTCATGGAACCCCCTGCCTTAGTCGCGCTGTCCGGGAGTGGTGCCCCTACATCTACATCTATACCAGAACGACTTGAAGACACGGTTCGCCGGCGATGGTTTACCTTCATTGAGGGCATTGGTACCGGCTACGACACACCCGGTGGCAGACCAGACAGCATCCACATTGACGATGCTGATCGGGATAGCTTGGCACAACGCCTACAGCAGCACATCATTACAGCGCCGTTGCCGTCAACAGGCTTCTTGGTATGTGTTGCGCTAGAACTTATGACTGGGAGTGATTCTGACTGGGCATTAGAATATGTGTATCAGAATGTATTTCACTCGCTTCAATGAGATACTTCCCATCATCCATCAACCGACGTTTCGCCCTTCTGTGAAGAGGTCTCTCTTGTTGCTTTCCATTTGCTCGATGGGCTGTCTTTTCTTGGGTTCTAGCCATGCAACTCAACAAGGGATTCGAATATTCGAAACTCTAAACAAAGCTATACTTTCGTCGGTTCGTAGTTAATTTTCTGGCAACCGCCCCATGCTACCCTTGACTAACTGAATAAGTGGGAAACACATATAGTTCGAGAGAAATCTGAAGCCCTGTCTATGGTTCAAGCGGCTTTAATCGGACAGACCTTTGGGATGTTATCAGGGGTAAGTTGCCCCGCCGTAAATAAAGAATAGTCCTCTTGCAGTAATTGTCACGACTAAATCCGTGTTACTCAGAGGCCAAAAGACTTATTAACCGTGCAGACATTCCATGGAACGGTGATCACTGTAAGCTTATCTTATTATGTTTATATCTACCAATATCGCGATGTATGCTTACAATACTTAGTGGGCGAAAAGAAAGAATTTCTTCTCCGGTCATCGCGCAATTGACCTTATCAACATAGAAGATATTGAGCGCGCACCTGAGCGGGCATGGAGAGTATGGTCTCAGGCGGAAGAAGAGATCCGGTGAGTTTGCAGTAAAATAGGCTGTACGGGCTAATAACTAACTTTTTAGCCAGGCTCTGGGCCGCGGTTTCCATCCTGGACGCTGAACTGTCCGAACTATTACTCAGCGAGCCTCTTCTACGACGATTTTCGCCGTCAGATCTAGTATCCGAGGACGATCTTTGGACGGCTCCGACTGCGCAAGCCTGGGGGAATGCTGTGCGACTCCGAGTTGAACAATCCCGGATACATTTTAGCCCCTCAACCCCCAGTCAGGCGATAGGATTTCGCTCGTATGTTGAGCTAGAAGGAGTCACCTCAGCCATTAGCAATGCTACGAACTCTCTAGAGAATAACAGGAGAGATTTAGTCCTGGTGAAATGGCAACCACTTCTGATGAGCTTCTACGACCGCTATCTTCATCCTTTGCAGCAGAACTCGTTTCCCCAAGCGGATAAAGATAAATTCTGTCAGCAGGCTCTTTGGCACGCCAACTTCCTTAGCCTCCTAGCTGATCTGGACCGTTTAGAGCAAGCGCTTGGGCGTGAAGGATTTGATGAAGCTCAGCGCAATACCAGCTATGCCCGTGCGTGGGCAAACTCATCCGAGGGCCTGCGATGTGCCATCCATGCTCTTTTAATTCTCCGTCTGTTAGAGACGCTGCCAGTTGGGGGAACCGAGCCGGCAATCCATGTCCCCCGAGTGCTTTTCCGGGCGACTATTGTCTGGTTCTGCTATTTGAAATTTGGCGTCGGGGACCCCGCAGAATGGTACGAGCAGAGTCAGGCCTTTAATAATCCGAATAGCTTGCCAGAGCTGAGACACATTAGTGTGAACCTTGGGAATCTCCTTTTTGAGTCTCCGGATTTCCAGCAGAGGCGGCCAAGTCCATCAGAATCCAGTACCACATGCCGATATGTAGATCTCATGGGACGCATTGGACACTGGGGGTTATTCCGCCAGTTAGGCGCGGTAGGAGCGATGCTGCTTCATGGGGCTTTGGAGGCTCTTCCTCCTGTGCAAGCCTGGGCTTAAATAAAATAGTGACCTTCTAGGAAGATTTTTACGAAGTAGCGCAGATAGACAATGAATTGCACTTAGGTGTTACCTTTTGTAAACGTACTCTACCGAATGCAATAAAACTTCGGTCCAGTCGACTTGAAATTAACTCAAGACATGGTAGTACATAAAACGCATATCCATTCTATCCTTCCAATTTCACTCATGTCTAACCTTATTGACCAAGCTCCCAATCCCCTCAATCTCAACCAAAAACTCATCCCCATCTCTCAAGACAAGCCTTGGATTTCTAAAATAACCGATTCCCGCTGGGGTCCCTGTTAGGAGAATCGTACCCGCTTCCAAGGTAGTTCCCTGAGATAGATATGAAATCTGCTTCTTGATAGAAAAGATCATATCCTTGGTGTGACCATCCTGGACAACGCTTCCATTATGGATACCTCGGATCCGAAGAGTCTGCGGATCGGTGATCACGGATGGTGAGACAAGGACGGGGCCTATCATATTGAAAGTAATCAAGTTAGTTAAGGGAAAAACAAACCCCAGCGGCACATAGTATCAGTAAGCCAGGTAGGTAGTTACGTCGCGCACTAAACTTGGGAGGACGGAGATGGGAAACATACCAATAGGACAGCTCCCATCTAACCCCTTGGAAAAACTCCACTGTGCAGAGGCCATTTGCAAGGCTCTCGCGGACACATCATTGGAAGCTGTATAACCCAGGACGTAATCCAATGCTTCAGCCTCTGGGATATCTCGTCCCGTCTTACCAATGACGACACATAATTCGGATTCATAGTCACTCGTGTCATCCTGCGCACATTTCGGAATATTAATCGTAGCCGGGTAAGGATCGGCCAGTGCAGAGCGCGGCTTGGTGAACAAGATTGGGACTTTGGGGAGGGACAGGTTTGCCTCATTAGCATGGTCGGTGTAGTTGAGGCCTAGGCAGCGGATGTAGTTGCATTGCGCGGGGTCGACTGGGGATAGGATCTATGTTCCATTCCAACTTAGCACAGGTTAGGTCAGATTAGGTTATAGGTTTATGTACCTTTTTCACATGCATGATCTTATCCGTGACACATCCGTCAAAGATACTTCCCTCGATTAGGTAGACGAGGATGCCGACGCCATTGACGCTGTCTTTTCCCACATCGCGCTTTGTGTCAACTAATTGGCCGAGGTGGATGTGGCTGTCCTCGACCGCGACAAAGCGTACAAGATGTGACCAAGAAGACATTTTGGTGTGCACTGGAATTCTCGGTATACTTCCAAAACTCATTAAGACACTGATATAAGCGGACATCTAGGTCTTTTCTACCATATACTACTCCGTTAATTGCTTACAAACCTATTAGTACACCACGCGGGACGACGCATTTCGGACAGCAAAACTGGGGCTTAGCGGGACGTGGGACGATCCCGCCACCTGAATGTTTAATGAAAATGTGAATTAGGGGATAATCCATTAAAATTACCGAGTAAGCGCGCTGTACAATGGTCCTATCAGCACCTCCGAGACCGCGCGCACCCCCTTTTCAGGCGCCGCCATGGAAACGTCTCATTCAATCCGCATATATGAACGCTGGACTTCCGGGTGAGCCAGCGGGCCCAAACATAGGTCTAATTGTTAACACGAACGGACAAAGCAGACTCAACGACTACAGAGAGGAACAAGAACCGCGTGGTAGTGACTAGATCTGAGCGCCAATGCATGTCGATGTGACGTACCTGGCCATTTCCGAGTCACGAAATTCAGGATTGAACTTGTGGTCAGGAAACGTACACTTCAAGGGATTGACTAGTTAAAAGGTTCCCCAGAGTCAATCAGATGTATGCCACAGGACTAAAATATTCTCAACATCAAGCATTTTCAAACCAAACTCAGAAACTGTGACCTCTTACCTGGGACTGCTGCCACACTTACAAATTACCTCGGTGCCAGGTAGGATATCTCGTTTCATAGTGAAGGGGGGAAATAGAAATGAAAGTGAAATGAACGAAGCACTGTTGCCTGTATATAAAAAGCTGCCTAAGCATTATTTATGTACAGTTTATTTGCCTCTGTTTCGCGGACCCACAAATTCCACGGTCTCATGACTGACCATCGCGTCATCTGCGTTGCAGCGAGCAGCTCCGAGTCTTGCAAATAATACAATGCCTCACCATCCTTCAATGGTGCAGTGCCAGCAGCGAGTTGAAGAGTGAGAGAAGCAGTTTGCACCCGGGCATTCTCAGCCGTGTAGATAGCTCTAAAAACACACTCTTCAATGCCCCCACCAATAACAGTAAAGCCGTGCCCTCGCATCAGAACCACCGAGTGGCAGGAGTTTCCGCTGCCCTCGGAGAAGCATGCCGATAGAGATTTCCCTAACCGTTGGTTTCTGATCAGGAGATCGCGGACGTCTTCTTCGGAATAGAACTCTGCGATGTCGAACTTGGGGACACGGTTTCCTGGTTAGGGATAGAGCGAATAAGCATTGCCTTTCAATCAGCTCACGGGCTACAGTGAAGAAGACTAACCTAGAAAGCCTCCCATATGTACGCAAGGACGTAGTTCAACACCTGCATGGAGTGTCAGATACCATACAGATGAGGATTGCTTTAACTGGTTCTTTGAACCTATTCAGACCGGTTTTCTCCGGTATATTACACTGTAAATTGAGGAAATTAGATCAAATACCTGTAATGGTGAAGGGAAGAAGGGCTGGTGAGTGGCTGTGGATCACGCTATGAATCTCCGGATATCGTTTGTATATCTCACTGTGGATGAAACGCTCGACATAGCCAGGTGGACTATTGGGGTCAACGGGGGAAGCATCCTCTACCCAATATTCCACGATGTCGGCTCTCGAAGACATGAGTGCGGGAGCCATGTTGCGAGGCATCAAAAAGGTGTTCGTTTTCTCTGGGTGCCGCACGGAAAGGTGACCATACGCATCGAGGACCCTGTAGATGACAGTAAGCCCGTCACCCCATGGTAGTATTTAGGAAGCCTACCCATGATGATGAAGAATATGTGATCCGTCGATGAGCGTGTGGAAAATGGACGGCGTGGAAGAGGTATCGCTTGTCGCCATTTCCACGTCTAGCTTTGTGTAAAAAATAGAGATTTTGTAGAAGCGAGTCCCTACGAAAGAGCAATATTCCTGGGAGGAGCGGTTGGCGTCACCTGACTGTTTGGGGTTTTTGGGTCGCAGAATGTTCAATTTGTTGGGCTATTCATACATACCCTGACCTCAAGTGACAACCGATCCCAGCATGGCAACTCAGGCTAGACAAGAAGCTGTCGATTTCTCCGTCCGACGGGCGACGGACTGTGGACAAGCAGGTCGGTCGTCTGGACCGGAGTCACCGGACATAGCATAACTTGCATAACCCGCAAAAACCGAGCTCAATGGAGAACATCCCGCTATGGCCAATCTCAATGAGTGGTAGTGGGGAATGTACCCGCTGGGCCGCTGCTCTCCGCTTTTCGGGTCTGTAGGGAAGGCCCATTGGGGCTCCTGAGCCGCAGAACCCGAGCGTCCACAGCACAAAGTTTCCATCCCGTTACGCAGGTTCCCGGCATTGGAAACGTCACGTGGAGATTATCATTTACGACGAGCGAACCAGGTGGCGGCGGACCTATATCGAGGCCCCTTACTAAGTAATTACTTGCGTGAACCCTATGGGCGACCCCTAGATGGAGATATGCCAGAGATGGGAGGCCAAATGCCCATAAGCTACATTCCCAGTTCAGGTTCTCATGCAATTACAGCCCGTCAAAGAAGGGGACTCATGTGACATGTACGCCGCAGTAGGGCTTTTCCCCAAGCGCCGTCGTTCGGAAGTAGGGCTTACCCTCATCGAACATCCCCAGCTGTGCCGGACGCTTATTTGAAATAAGCACTGCATCAGACAGCACTCTAGGACAGACAGAGAAGTCGTCTGTCAAGAGTATGCTCCTCCTTGTACTGCTGTTCAACAACTATATTGCTTTAATGTTAAGGCAGTAAAAGTCACGAAACACCAGTCTTCCATTTGCACTCTACTCTATCCAAAGTAAGAGGCTCGTCCATACACCACACTGCATAACGGATCTACAATGTATGATTGAACCACGACACCGCCTGCGCAAACGCCTGTTCCTTCGAAAACCGAACACGTGGCTGGCTGAGGTCTCCCCGAATGGCGAACCCGTGGGAAACCCCGCTGAACAAGTTAATCTGGAATTCCTGTCCAGTGCCAATCAGAGTCTCCTCAGATGCGTGGCGGTTCGCGGTGGTGAAGATCGGGTCGTGCTCTGAGGAGGCCGGTGAGTTATTCAGGTACGGCAAGCAGTAATCGGGCAGGGCAGGGGAGGCAGATGGTACCTGCAGCAGAGATGGAGAGAGGCCTCTGGATCGCGCTCAATTCCTCTTTCGTGACGAATGACGGATGAGCAATGTAGCCGGAGTCCAGTTGCCCTACCTTGAGGTACCGGACGACGTACTTCAGATGAGTAAAAGCAGGAGATCAGCGCGGCTCTCGCGGAAGTTCCAGAGTCACAGAGATGAAAGGCATTCGAGCCATACCTTGCCACCAAAGCAGTAGCCAGCCGCAGCAACCTTTTGCACTTGCAGCACTGTCCTAAGGTGCTTGATTGCGGCCTCAACAATCGGGGCTACATCATCAACTGTGTGGCGGGAAAGCCAAGCGCCCACGTCGATCCGTTTGGCATCATAGTCTCCGATGCTGATCTGATCGCCATTGAACAGATCAGGGAGTACGCATAGGTAGCCGTTTGCGGCAAAGGCATCTGCCACAAGCTGGCTGTTGGGGAAAATGCCAAATATGTCGCTCAACAGAATGACTGCTTTGTTGGGCTTTTCGTCACCTTCAGGGTGGGCAATGTAGGCTCTGACTGTTGGTAATTAGTAAGTATCCGTCAGCTGAATGATTGGACGTACTGTTGTTGATTTGTTTTATCTCCCCTTTGGGGTTCCCCTCGTGGAGAACGCCGGTGAAGCAGCAGCTCCCTGGGATTGAAGATGCCATGGTTACAACGGACGGAAGCGACGGCGAGTATACATGGCAAGCAAGGGTAAAATATACCATAAATAATGAAAATGGAACGTGGAGTTACTAAAGCCGAGACTTACCTGGCGAGGCCCAACGCCCGAGTTCAAAAGCCGCTCCATTACAATAACCCCGTTACCCCACTGATAGGTCCACGCAACGGAATACCGCGCCAAAACATTGTGCGGGGTTTTCTGGACGTTCATGTTGCGCCCGCGGTATGATGGGCGACACTCGATGATGGCCACTGAAGCAACGTAAGATACAGTCGCAAAGACGCAAACCCCCCCTCCCCCCACAAGGGAGCGGGGTGGCTGCGACTTTTGTGCATGAAGTTTGTCAAAAAGGCTGGTAACCTTGATGGACCTACCCTGTGATCTGTGTGGCTTCCAGTACTCACCCATTTGGAAACCTTCAAGTACTCTGAAGCGCCTCCACCAGAAGGGCCACACGGCTGTTAGCGTTTTGTGCGGACGGTAGATCTCTTCAATCTCATGTTAAGTCCGACCCGCCGTCTCAGGACGAAAGAAGAATAGGCACACAGTATTCATGATAATAAAGAAATGCAACTCTGCGGGACTGTACTCGGATTAGGCCTGGTGAACTAGACCAGAATGGGCCCCCGGATAAATTTGTATGAGACAGCTAAATATATATATATCATTTTGGGATACCATCGGGCTTACTTCAATAAGCTGCAAACCTATGAAAGTCGATTTGATTACACCGGAACTTCTAGAAGATGCAGAATCCGTCGCTTAAAGTAAGATACAGGTGGAAACATCTTTGTTCGTAGAGACATAGGTACTGCATATTGGCTCAGAGTCACTGAGTAAACTATAAACCTACCCCCTTCAATACTGCAGAAAAGTCAGCTCAGGGAGGTAGTCAGCCGCCAGAGACTGATCCATGCAGGTCTGTGAAAGCATAGCAAACCGATGCAGTGGCTGCTGGAGCAATCTCCGGTGGGCATCATGCAGAAGCTCTTGAAGCTCAGAATATAGTCCTGCCACCAGCGTCTGATAGTACCCCTGGAGTAAGCTATCGTCACAAGCACATACAATGTCCATAGCAACAGAGAAGGCGTGCCAGGGGGCAAATAACCGCACGTACCACCGGAAGGGCTCGATCCGGGGATCCTGGTACATGTTGTTGAGAGTTTGCAGGAAATTCGTTGCTAACGAGAGCAAGGTGGTTGGGGATATGATATCCTGAGAGAAGTAGCCCTTGGCGGTCCCCTGCACAGGCTTTACAGCCACCAGCTGTAGGAAAGCGTGGGTAACCTCCACAAGTTGTTGCAGGAACAAGTCGAAAGGGGTTTTATCTGGGAGCAATCCCTTTAGGAGTGCTTGAGAATTTTGCTGAAAGGCAGCAGCGATTTGCAGGCGAGAATGGATGTCAACACTGGTCATACACAGATCTGCGATCCTGGACAGATTCAGAGAGCGGAATGCATGCTGTGCTTCGGCCATAACCATGATAAAGGTTGGGTCTCCGAGGGAGGTTGGCCCAGGAAAAGGCGAGCTATTATCCTTAGGTGGTGCAAAGAAATCAAGAAAGTCTATTGCCGGAAAGATCTGTGCCCTAAGACAATCAGGCTGAAGCATTGGCGCAGAACCATGGTTAAAGGAGGCTTGAACATCTAGCAACGATATTATGTGCCACAGACGGCGGCGCATTTCACGTTCTAATGGCGTCACCGTGAATGGCGGGTCGGAAATGTCAAGGAGGAGCGACTGGGCAATCCGTAGCGCTAGACTTAGCATTGTCCATGCCCTTCGGCTCTGGTCATGAGCTTGAATCGATACCTGCATGATGGCAGGTTAGTGGTCAGGAGTATACATCCTAAAGTCATGGTAGAAGATACCAGAAACAGCACAAAGGCTTGTAAGACAGTAATATCGTCCGTATTGATATAATCGGCGTGTTCGAGAGCACGCTTAGTCAAGCTGTGATACTTATTAAGAAGCAAATCACGAGAGGAATCAAACTCTTGATGGCATCGGTCATTGCTGAGTGTAGTGATCGTCATGTAGCTGATAGCACAGACCAGAGCCCTTGGAGCAGGATGGTCTGCAGCATATGTGAGGTATGGCTCTCCTTGCGTGACGTGGGCCCATAGAGAGGAGCACTGCAACAAGGGAAATATTGGATCGACCTGCATTATGTAGATTCGAAGCAGGCGAGAATCATCGCCCTCCCTGGGCGCCACATCGTTTGGGGATATATGATGATCCGGGCTAGTACTCTGGTAGTTGAAGCCGTCAAACTGACAGCCCGCTGGCTGGAGAGCACCATCTAGCGACGGATTGCCTGGGCCCAGGGTATCCGCACCACTCCCACTAGAATCCACATTTAGCGATCCGCCGTAATCTAGATCCTCGAGACAAGACTCGGTCTGGCTGTTAAGCAAGGTATGAACCAGTCCCTCGAGCATTGAGACGCGGTTTGCTAGATTCGGTGTTTGGACACGGGATATCATTTCCTCCCGAAAGCGCTTATTCTTCTTCGTCTTCGCCGAACGCCCCCGCGGAAGCCGAGTCCGCTCCACAGGGACACACTCAATACTGGCCTTGCGGCAGCTCGTGCAGGGATGGAGCTTGTCACACTTAACCTTGCGTCGTTTACATGTCTCGCAGGTGAGCCGGGCACTAAGGCCCCGCGAAAACTGGCTCATATTGATCGCAACTAGTCGCAGCAGATGTTGTTAAGAGACGGTGAGCGGGCACGATTGACTTGGACTCTTGAAAAGCTTTGGGCGGATAGGGGAGCCATCGGGTGGCGATCGCTCCGAGTCGCCGATCGTGGTCCCCAACCGCGAACCAATACTTAGTCAACCACGAAGTTAAGTTATGTACTAGACCCCTGTAGGCCTAGCTGAAACAAAGCCAAGCATTTCTTGTTACTTCCTGGCACATTGTCTGTGAAAAGACGGAGGCAGACTAGGCCGCTAGTAATGACATCAAGACTCTTCGCCGAGCCATTGTATACGGGACTACCACGTCCACAACTCTGCTTGCTTTCCTGGTATGTCGATTCCAACTACCTTTGATTTCTAGAATATTCTTAAAAAAATATTAGAAATCTCTCAAGGTTTAATAATTTTATGATCACTCTTTTCAGCATGCGCCATGCAACGAAGCCACTTGTACTATACAGCTGCACTCTTGACATGGAGCATCGTGCCGTACACTATTGTTGCCGTGCGACCAACCAACAATGCTCACCTTCTAAACGAGCTAAATAATTATGAACAGGAGCAGAGGAGCGATCTACTTGCCTGATGGGTCTTTCTTAACGTGATCCGGAGCCTAGTACCGCTTGTTGGGCTTTTATTGCAGAGTTTATGTAGCAAGACAAATGGCTTCAGTTCTTATTAATCATCTTATCTTTCCATAACGAGCTTTTCAGTGCGATGTATAGTTTTGGCCTTATCCATATATGATAATTTGAGAGAGATATAATACATATTCACCGAGCTGATGCCCCTAAAATCGATGGACCTTGTCTTTCGAGTATCCCAGTTGCTCCAGGATACCATTCCCGCCCTTTCCAAACGGAGCAGAACCCAGCAAAGCCGTCTCCATGGCGGGCGGCCCACAAACAAATACCTTTGTATCTTCTTCACTTGGCCCTTGCATGAGCTCTGCGAGAAGTTCCTTTGTTATATATCCTGACCGTATGCCTGGCTCTAGCGAGAATTCTTTCTTCGGCCGACTGACTGTGTAATGGATATTAAACCGGTCCGGGTACCGCTGTTTATATGCGTCGAACTCGGAGCGCAAGAGAAGGTCTTCCTCCGTGTTTACACCGAAGATCACGGTGACTCTTGTTTTATCGACCGGATTGTCCAGGATTCCCTGCGCCAGCTGGTAAATGGGTGTGATGCCAGCGCCGCCTGCAATGAGATAGACATGTCGGAATTTGTTTGGCGTCCAGGAAAACCCGGAGATGCTGGCTAAGAATAGCAGACTGTCCCCAGGTTTCAGGTTGTGAAGGTGCGTGCTTGCTTTGCCGTTGGGATACTTTTTGACGAGGAGTTCAATGAAACCAGGTTTATCTAATGAAATGAGAGACGGATCGTGGACTGGGATAGAGATCACTTACCCAGCTTACTGACTGGGGTGTAAGGCCGCACAACAGGTAGCCAGCTACCGGCAGGTTTGGAGAAGGTCAGAAGAGCAGCTAACAGTTCCCTGTAAGCCTATAATCAACGTATGATGTGAGAAGTCAGACACGAACTTACAGGTGAGGTCGAGACCACTTTGCGCATTCTCTCCACCCGGAAGCTCGAAGCAAAGCCGCTTGGTGTTATGGTTGACGTTCTCGGAGCTATGAAGTTGGAGGTACATGAAAGCCGGCCCTTTGCCAAAGACCCTCTTCGGTGTCGGCGACTCCGCGAAAGCGACGCGCTGGCCGAAGAAACGGGAAGCCATGTATGTGCTGATTCCGCCGACAGTGATGACGGCGAAGGCCTTGGCGACTGGGCGTTTGTTCAGGAGGCCCGACATTGTATCGGCGCTGCCTGGAATTGCGGTGTGACTGACGACTGCGGAAGTTGTCAGCTAATGTTGGTGTGCGAGCCGATGGTATATGCAGGCAGAACTTCGTCAAGGCGGGGCTTTATCGAGCTATTTGAACCCATCGTTCGTCGGCGTATTCGTTCGTCGAGTCCGAGATTCCTTCCGCCCAGGCATTAGGGCGGGGCCGTCTCAGCCTTGTTTTTACAAATCAGCTCCTTCCTTCTAGGCCTGGCTCGCGATCATGCGATTCTTTGTCCGCGTGTGGTGACTAATTCGACAGGTACCTGGACTCTTCAATTCCCTTCCCGGCGTTGAGCTAGTGGCTTAGTGGGACCAGGGGATTACCGCGCCTGGTCACAAAGGCAATCAAATGTGAGCGGTTAAATTTGTATATCTTGAAAAGTCTGATCAATTAGGTATCACAAAGTGCGTAACTAACATCTCCTCCCGCGTTTAAACGTGGAACTATACGTAGTGGCAATTGGATTTACCATGTTTTCCGACATATAGCCCCTCTTGTTCGCCCAACCACGAAACATTGCACCGCAAACTTCTTCAGGAAGGGTCCCCGAGCAGTAACAACTGATTACAGTTGTTTCGAAGATATCCACGATCCAAGTCTGTTTGCAATGCGATACTGTATCCTCGTGCGCTGTCTCTTGCGGAAAGGTCACCAGGAGGACACCACAACAAGCGGCAAATGATGCACATGGTTGGTCACGGAGGTCGGGGCTAAAAAGGCCGAGGCGGCAGTACTCTACCTTACAGATTCAATGCCCCCTAATGTGCCCATAAAGCGTTTCAAACATATGAGGCGACTTTCACAATACCAGAACCATTAGCCAGCCAACTCATTATGCTAGTCTTTGTGATTGCCCCCTTGAATCCTAGACTCCTTCAGTCCTTCGTCACTACCCAGCTGGAACCTTGACATCATTAATGGCCTCAAAACTCAACCCGAAGCCGCTAGTGTTCTTTTAAGTTTAAGGATCTCGGCCTTTGCGGCTTTTGCGGATCCTGACGCTTGTCCCAAGTTCTGCTGTCCCCACTCCTGCTCATAGATATGTGGAGTATCCAAGAGGGTTAAAAAAAGCCCCAGTATGATATTCTGATTATCACCTACAAGGTTCATAACAGATCGCCCAATAAAACCCAATAAACTAGGGGAAGAATTGCTCCAGTTTCTTCTACTGTTTGCTTAGGGTACCTTGACTCTTGATCGCAGCCATGCCTGAGATCACCTCTCTGGTCGCGACCGCAGGAACAACCACCTCCCTGTTCGTTTCTGGTAAATTAATTGTGTGGCCCTGGAATCGATCTCAATGCTAATTCTGGCCTGGATACAGGAGCCATCTTTGCATTCTCCGCTGGCGGCGTCAACACCTCGAAATTAGCCACAAAGACCTCTCCGGTGTTAGCCGCGCAGCAATGGCTAAACGTCTTCAACAGATGCCATAAAATCGGCACGCCTATGGTAATCTTCTCGGCAGGGTGTTTTGCATGGTTGAAGTACCAGACAAACAATAACATTTATCTTGCCGCTTCCGCTTCCTGTATGTGCATTGTGCCGTACACCATTCTCTTCCTCAGCGGACCTGAGAAGATACTTTTCCCGGCTGCAAATATGAAGCAGAAAACACTCTCTACTCCTGAACCTCGTGAGATTGAACGGGCTCTTAGTCAATGGGAGGTTGCCAATATCGTTCGCATTTTGTTTCCTCTTGTCGGTGGTGTAATGGTCCTAGTATCTAAGATGTAGGCTCGCGAGCGCCGGCATTGTTGTCCTCGGGGGTGATCTCGATTGCGGATGCTGTGCCAGTAATCCTTACGGCAAAAAGTTAGGAGAAAGAAGAATAAGAAGAAGAAGAATCTTCAATAAATGAACGACTCTATGCTGATGTGTATGTTAGTATTCTGCTGATAAATGAAGTTAGTATTATTTATAGAAAGACTTGCTCGGGCCTATTAACTAGTTACTTGTCTTACACACTCTATTATGGCGCAAGTCCTAGCTTAGTATCACGGATAAGCTATATAGACCATGGGCGAGTCAGGCCATGGAGTCTTATCGCAGTCTTTTGGTCCGACCGAATACAAGCTGTATAACCTTGCTGCCTTTGAGGACTGGGTCTGTTCCAACCTCGAAATTTGGCTCCAGGCCCCTGGGAGATAATGAGACCTGCCAGCGGTTAGGTACGCTGGTTAGCCAGTACTACGACTCTGATACTGAAATTCTCACTCATTCTGGTGGATCTACGTGATCGAGGAGGGGCACTACAAAGGTGATTGACCTTGCACCTGCCCCAGAGTTGAGGTCTAGACCTCAGCATAAAGCACTTCTCTGAGAGATACTGGTATACAGAAGCAGATATGTGGAGAACAGTGAGAGAACAAGAGACTAGACTATATGCAAGCTCCCAAAGGCCGTCCACTGTGTTAATCAAAGTGATTGTTGACAATGACGTTGTCTATTTTACCCTTTACGATTATTGGAATTTAGTATTTATTCTAAATCCTTCTTCTTTGGTATAGGTAAGTTTGCAAGTATTCTCATGCAGTCATGCTTGTGAAACCCTGGTTGATAATGTGTTATATATAGCACGAGCCACTGCATGGCACAGCGGCTTCTGTAGATGATTCTCTCTGGGCAACTTGCTGAAGCTAGTGTTACTCAGGAGCGATTTTGAAGGATAAAGGATAATTTAACTGGTTTGGCTTGCATGCGCTTCAGGCAAGAAGGTTGCCGATTTTATATGCTGGGTTGTGACACAGTAAGTGTGGATATCAACAGGGCGTCCCTCGAAAAAAGTCTCGGGCTCAGGGTTGGCAATCAGAATTTCCTTGAATATCGGACATCGGGCCATTTGAAATTCGAGACCCGGTGACAATACACATATCTCCGAGCCCCACAAATTCGATTGCAGCTCAAATTTGATCTTCGGGTAACTCTAAGTGGATGTTCACCCTGCGGAGGTATAGCCATTGCAAGAGGGCTTCGAAAATTTGGGCTGAGACGACACGTTCGATCTCTTCCAAGATTGCTGCCTGTTCTTGTCCCTCTTTCAACTCATCCGTGAACATGACTGAGAAATATTTGGAATCTGCAAAGAAGAGGTCTTGAAACCGTATATTCGTAGTCGCCAGGATCGATTCGAACCGCGACACAGGGACCATGCGCTGAATAATGGAACATTTAGTCACGCCAATCCCAGAGTTGACATTCCACTTACAGCCTAAAAAGGTCATTGCAGTGACTGATGCCTGTACAATGCCGCTTGATTGAAGAGACAGGCCCTTTCTGCTAGCTGTCTGTGTACGAACCATGGCTACGGCTGGCCACGGACCTGTCAACCATAGATAGATAGACTATTTTAGGTTCGGGGTTTCCTATGGGGCCGTTTCCGGGCCATATTCACAGGTGCACCAATGAGATGGACAACTAATAGGCCAAAAGTGGTAAAAGGCCCTTAACTGATAACTTAGAGGGGCTCTGTTACATGACTAATCTTTGAGGGAGATAGTAACTCCGGCTCCGGGGATCCACCTGGCTGCTTCATGCTGACGGGTGTGCGGCTGTGCCCAACAGCGCATCAACATCTGTCAGATGCAGGGAAGCCGATCAAAGTAACCCCGACCGTCTTGTGCTAAGCCTCCGAGATTATGACCTAGCACCTGATCGTCATGTCGACGACAGTCAGCAAGCGCAAGCGGGCAAAGAAGGCGTGCATCCCGTGCCATCAGCGCAAACGAAAATGTGACGCGGAGTATCCCTGTGGCACGTGCATCACCTACGAATATAACTGCAGATACGCCGACGACGACACGACTAGCACTGCGGGTGGAGGCGGGCACGCTCCACCCCTAGCCAAGCGCGTCATTCTTGACGGGGGGAGTGGTTTGGCCAGCGGGGTCACCACTAAATCGCGCAACCCAGACAGCCAACCTCATGTAGCGAGAGCTCCCCAGTCCGCTGACAGCCCGTCGACAGAGAGCCCTACCGTCGGGGGCGGCATCTTCGACGAGCAGAAGTCCAGATACACCGGAGCATCGGCGGCCATGGCCTTCCCGCACATCCTGGGCGTGGCTCTCGGCTCCGACAGCCCTCCCAAGGTCAACTCGTTCGCCTACACCTTTGGGATCCGCCCCGAGGAGGCCTCCAACGTTTATGGCTTCCTCGGGAAAATCATCTCGGAGGACGACCTCGCCTTCTACTCGAATGTGTTCTTCTCTGCAATGGGCCCTATCGGCGACTACATGGACCCGAGAATCTACGCCCAGCGATGTCGGGATTATTATCATGGCTCCGGCAGCACCACGGTCGCCTTTGGCGCCGTAGCCGCCGGCGTCGCTGCCTTTGGGTCGTTCCTCTCCCCAACCAGATACCCACGGGAGTCCGACCTGGTGCAGTACGCTAAAGCGATTCTCGATGATCCAGCGTCCATGCGTGTGCTGAGCATCGACCACATTATCGCGTGGGGCATGCGGTTATTTTATCTACGGTCCACAACCCGCCCCAGTAATGCCTGGGTTGCGTCGTGCACTCTCATGCACCTCTGCGAAGTGGTCGGGCTGCACGAGGAAGAGAACATCAAACGGATGGCGTCTGTCGCCGGCGCCGCTGTTGTTGGACATGATGCGGACCGGCTGAGGCGAATTTTCTGGATCTCGTGGGCCGGCCATCAAATGCTGTCGTATGAGTACGATCGTTCGGCTGTAAGATTTTCCTCCGTGACTTGTGAGGCGATCATCCCGATACAAGGGTCCGTTGCCGACCAGTTCGTGCAAATAATCCAAATGATCCCGTCGCCCAACTCGCCGTTCCAGCTCGAATGTCAGCCTGCAACGCCGAGGGAGGAGCTATTTGAGCGTCTCAAGGCATTGAGTAAACTCCATCCCACCCATCCGTTCCTCGTGGCGACCAAGGCGGACCTTATGTTTTGCTTCTATCGACGCATTTATCAGCTCAAGACGGGCATAACGGACGAGATAGTCCAACTCGTCATTGATTGCGGTAACGACGCAGTGGAGGCGGCTGAGCAGCTGGCCAACGACGGTCGTCTGCTTTGGAACGTCATAGGCAGCGTCTTCCAGTATGCCTGTGTCTTGCTGGCCATCGACACGCCGGCCGCCTCTGCTCACATCCCTGCTGCCTTCAAGGGGTTGGAGAATCTGGTCAGGGCTGCGGACACAGGACTGACCCGTCAGGCATTGTCAATAGCGCGGCATTTGCTCAGCCTCAATATAGCAAAGAAGCGAAAGGAGCTGATCCAGCTGGAAGCCGTCGAGGCGGGCTACGAACCCTTCCAGGCGCAGCCGGAACCCGAGGTCCACGCCGCTTTGCCGGACCTTGCCTGGGGAAGCGTGGACTGGGACCAGTTGCTCATCGAGCCATATCTATCGTTTCTCGGTCCCGACATCCAGTTGTAGTAGCGCGGCGGGGGCGTCGTACAATGATTGAATCCACTTAGCGGCTATTCAACTCATCACATCATGGCGTGGCAAACTTCAATGTCTAATGAAATTCAGTATTTTATTTAGGTAAAACTTGCCATTGAAGATATCTAAACAAGCTCCTCCTGCGTTTCGCTCTTTTCCTGCGCCACCTTGTCTGGCGTCTTGGAGTGATGCCGCTCCAGAAAACAGAAAACCAGAGCCACCGCTACTCCCAAGCCGGAGAGACCGACACCCATGTAAAGTGCGCCCCGGTATCCTTGTAGAATATTCTTCCCTCCATCATTGACCTGTCCCTCGACCGTGCCGGCGAGCCCGAGCCCAATGGAGATCGAGTAATTGACAAAGGTGTTGACCAGCGACGCGGCGAGACCCTGATGCTCCCGCGGCATAGCCCGGCTCAGGATGATGGTGCCGGCAGGGAAGGACATGTCCATACCCCACGGGAGGACGATGATACCCACGAAAGTCTGCGCCCAGTAGGTCTGCTGCACTGGTACCGTCGCAAAGATGATTCCTCCGATGAGGAAGAAGGTCATGGAGATGAGCATCACGGTTGACGTGCGGAAGTGACTTAGGACCAGACCGGTGGTCACAGCAGCAAACAGCCCACTTATGGCGACAGGAGTGAACTGGGCGGACGTGAGCAGCGGGGTCTGGCCCCGCAGGACCTCGAGGAGATTCAAGGTATAGAAGACGTAGATCCCGAAGCTGGACCATCCCGCGCTGATGCAGGCGAGAGTGAAGAGGGCATCTAATTGCAGGACGCCGAAGGGGATCAGGGGGTGGCTGCTCACCCTCTTCTCGACGAGGACGAAGACGACAAAGATGAGGATTCCCACAATCAAGATGCTGTAGGTGTAAGGTGTGGGCCAGCCGACCGCGGCGCCTTGGTTCCAGGCGAAGTTGAAGAGAACCAGGGCGGCCACGCCGGTGATGGAGCCGAAGATATCGACCCGCTGCCAGATACTGGGACTTTCCGGCTCTGTTCTGCTTGGCGCCGGGGTTGCGGGAATGACAAAGACGGCCAAGACGGCCAGCAGAAGGCACGCAAAACACAGGACCCAATAGGACCAAGGCCACCAGGCCCTCTGGGAAAGCAGGCTGGAGAAAACGGCGCCGATTACGAAGCCGCCGGGGGCAGTGGCACCAAACAAACTGAAGATCATGTTCTGGCGAAGCCCCGGGTCGTAGCAGCGACTGAGGATTGCGATGGCGTTGGGCAGCAAGAAAGCCGGGCCGATGCCCTGCATGGTGCGGCAGAAAATGAAGAAGCTGGAGCTGCTGTAGACGGCGACGCCGGCGAGGGCGGACCACAAGCCGAACCAGGCGTAGCCGCCAACGAAGAAGACCTTGTGGCCGAAGACATCGCCAAGGCGGCCTGCGATCAGGATGAAGGTGCCGACGGTGAGAGAGTATCCAGCGGAGAACCAGCTCAGCTGGCCAGGCTGGTTGTCGATGCCGAACGACTGACCAATGATGTGTTGGGGCACGATGCTGAGGGCAAGACCGGCTTGAGTGAGGAGCTGGGAGGAGCAGATGATAGCGACGAACAGGACTTCGCCGGCGATAGACTGGGGGCGTTCGACTTTGGAGTCAAAGGGTTGGGGCTGATGGCCTTCGTTGTCGCTGTCGGGGGCCTGTTTGGATACACCGTTTTCATAGTCCTCATTCGAGCTTTCGGGGGACGTTGACATGTTGTCTTTCTTTCCTTGGAAAGATATCTTTTCATTCGAACCTTCGGGGGATGTCTGCCCCAAGGTTGAATCATCAGAGGGGCCCTCTCCAAGCGACATGTTGTCTTTTTTTCCTTGTAAAGATATTTTTCTGGTTAACAAGGCGAACTGAGGCTTAGGGGACGAGGTAGCCCAGCTAGTAAGACGACTCGTAGTATGTATGAGCTTTGGTCAGCCCGTATGATGACAGCGTTGTCGACTTTGGTGCTTGGATCTATGCGTCGACGAGCTGCCACAGAGTATATCTAAATTTGTGCTGCTTAAGGTTCGAGGCTGAGCTTTTGCAGGAGTCATAAGGCTCTTCTTTCTCTGCATCATGATTTCTAAGCTGATCATCTTGACGCCCCGGAGATATGCGCGAAGGTCTGTTAGTCGGACTCGGGAGGTGAATAACACTCAGTTTGCTGTCTCAACGCCGCTTCAATATTGGTGCGGTGCGGTGCGGTGCGGCTACTGCGGAGTTAAGTCCGGCCGACCGCTGTCGGGTAGTGCCATTGTTAGTCACTGGGCCCCTTTGTGCGGCTGCTGCGGCCGAGAGCTCTCGTATGTCTGTCCTTTGCGTTTTCGCACTATTACAGGGATTTCATTCCCTCGGCGGTAATGCTCGTCGCAGTTGCGGCGGCTATTGTGGAGCAGTCATAGTGCGGCTGCGACGGCGACGTTGACGCACAAGTTGCCTGACTCATAGTTGATTGACGGGCGCCAGCATGGCTGGGCGGATCAAGTTTGAAGATCTGGCCAAATCAATCCCGATACACCGGCCGGAGAATAGCTGTTCGGAGTTGCCCAATTCGACCAGGTCAGATTAGGCTGCGATGGGGAGAAATAGCACAGGAGTATGGCTGTGTAGCGATCTCGAGACTAGGGGCTAAAATGTATAAATGGACAGACATTTTCTGCTCCAAGGAGGAATAGTCAGACACCCAACAAGCTCAAACGGCAACAATAGCCACCATACCTCAGCCACCACTCTTGAACACGATCACAACAATTAATATACATTAATCATTAATTCAATATCCCATTCAAAGAGCCAAAATGCCCGCTTACGCCAAGAGCCAGCCAGCTGGCTTCAAAAACGCCATTGAGAGAGTCGCCATTGTCGGCGTAAGCAAACCCATCAGCCACCTCATGCATACCACAACGCTAACAAATACACTTAGGCTGGAGGCACTGTTGGATCCAACATCGTCGCCGCTCTCCTGAAAACCGGAAAACACACAGTTACGGCCCTCACCCGCAAAGATAGCAGCAACAAGCTCCCCGAGGGCGTCGTAGTCGCCCCAGTCGACTACAATGACGAGGCCACCATTGTTGCCGCCCTCGAGGGCCAGCAATTTCTGATCATCACCATGGCCCCTACTGCTCCCCGGGACACCCAAAGCAAGCTCGTCCAGGCGGCCGCTAAGGCTGGTGTTCCCTACATCATGCCCAACGGGTACGCTGGCGACATTGACAACATTCAGCTCGGCCAGGACACGCTGCTGGGGCCTGCGGCCAAGGCCGGCAGGGACGAGATCGAGAGGCTCGGCATGCAGTGGATCACGGTGTGCTGTGGGTTTTGGTACGATTACAGCTTGGCCGGCGGTGAGGCGCGCTTTGGGTTCGACTTTGACAAGCGTTCCCTGACCATTTACGACGATGGCAATACCAAGAACACTACTTCGACGCTAGCGCAGGTTGGTCGTGCTGTGGCCAAGGTCCTGAGCCTGAACGAGCTGCCCGAGGACGAAAACGATACCAGCCTTACTCTGTCGACGTTCCTGAACAAGGGCGTATACATCAAGAGCTTTGTCGTCAGCCAAAACGACATTTTTGAGAGCGTCAAGCGCGTCACTGGTACCACCGACGCTGACTGGACGATCACTCACGAGGACACCAAGAAGCGATACGAAGATGGCCTGGCGCTAGTGAAGAGTGGTAACATGGCTGGGTTCGGTAAGCTGCTGTACGCGAGGGCGTTTTACCCGGATGATCCCAGTGAATTCTCGGCCAAGGCACAAAATGAGCTGCTTGGTTTGCCGGAGGAGACCCTGGATGAAGCTACCCAGGTTGGTATCGATCTGGTCAAGGAACTGCAGCGTCGTCCTGAGCGTATGGCGTCATAGAAAACAGCATGTACCGAGCTTAAATTTAATTAGAACTGCGGTTGTATGGTTACTTTTTGACACAAACAGAAATGCGATGATGATGATGATGATGAATGCCTGATGTAGCTTGCTCTGATAGGTGCCTATATCCCTCGAGCTTGTTGTTCCTGATTGGATACGTTTTACCACCAATACGGGGTGACTCGCTAACCTGTTACCATTCTCGGATAGGAAATCGGTCCAGCCCAATCGCTCCAAAGGAGGCGCAACGCCCTGCATCCAATCAGGACCGGTTCAATCAGTTACGTCTATCTAGTGGACCGGCCCGGCAGATCAGTAGGGCAATGAATCTCCGAGCATTGAGCGCTCTGATGGGCTTTGGGGTGGCTTGGCCGCCAACGATTTAGTCTAAAATTAGAGGAGGACCCCAGAATTACCTGATCGTCGCGACGCAGCTCGGGATGAGTGTAAACCTTGTGCGCAAAATGCTTCCAAAGATAGTGAGGTGGTCATTTCCCTGGCACCTTCATTGCAGATAGGAGTGCTATTGCATATATTCTCTGTGACCACTGGATTTCGTAGTTCGTACCCATATAGTTTCTCATTTTCCCAACCTGTGGGTGAGATTTTAGTACGTTGTTCAGTGTCAGCCGTTTTGCCCCAATAGACGATCGGAGATTAGGGCTGGCAAGGATCGTGATCCTTTTTTCTATGTCGGCCACTGGATATGGTTAAAACAATACCGATAGGGGCCATTTTTTGAAGATTAAGTGGGGTTGCTCATTGCCACGCTGTTGTCACAGTAACACAAGCTCATTACATAATATTGCCAGTCATGATAGCGCGGAGAAGGTCCCCTTGGTGGTTCTAAGATGATATGCACGTGCCATTCATGAACTCTTCAACCAATAACAGTATAGTACCAACAGCAGCGTGTTGGGAAATGTAAGACGGGCAACTTGTAGCGGGCTAGCGGACTATCTGTCAGAAAACGTGCTCAATCATCCCTGTCGTCTGTATCGTGAAGGAATCCTCCTCGGCGGTACAGACCGACCCCTGACAAGGCAGTATTCGACATCCATGGAAGGTGTTGGATGGCATTGAGTCCGTTGGTTCATTGCCGTAATCTAGATTCGCACCTGGTCAGACG